CACCAAAAGTTGATGTTGCGATTCGGCAGCCCCTCTTCGACCACCGCCTTGAAGCTGAAAAAAGAAGCCGTCGCACTGGCACCTTCGGGTATGTTTTTCACCGCGCAGAGCCGCTTCCTCGCTGGCGTCTTCACATTGCATCACTTCTCCCCACATCTCCACACTTAATTCGCGACTCATGCTTCTGCTCGCCATTCTTCCATGCCCATGACCATCAAGCCATTCCACCCACAACCCCACCCCTGCTTGTCCCATTCGCGACACCCATCCGCCTCTAGCCCTGCTCGCATCTGACGGCAACGGGCCGCCTCTTTCTGTCTTCTCAAACACTTGCACTCGACTAATACACTCTCTCCACCTGACACTGTCCGCACCCGTGTTGTCGTCTACGCTTTCCATCTCCTCATCGTTGCAACAAGAATGCAGCCGATGGTCATGCTGACTTCCCTTCAGACAGCCATCCAAGACTGGTCTTGCTGTGCCACCCGTTCCCTTCACCGCCGCCTTGGGCTCTTTCTTGGAGCCTTTGCCGAGCAATCTCTGGGGTAATTGCCCGCTGTTCTGCTACATTGACCCCTGATTTTACCTTCAGGATTTGCTATGCAGATACTAGACACAGTCGAATACTACGGAGAAGAAGACGCAATTCTAGGATCCCCCCCTCTAAAAGCAATCATCGTAAAGACAACGCCATCGCGGACCCCATCACCCCGCCAGTCTCCACCTTGCCGCTCTCAAACCATCGTACAGAGCGTTAGTTGTTCTCTCTCTCCATCACAGAAACGTCCTAATAGGCGCAAGGCCCGAACTCAGCCGACCCAAGGGGACTGGGTCCTCCTTCGGCAGATGGACCCAAACCACCCTGACATCGCCCAACGAGCAAGCGAAGTAGCCCTCAATTATTCAGACTCTGGTACCAGTGACGACGAAATGCTGGACGTTGAATCTCCCAACACAGTAGCCGTGTCGTCTAACCACAACGGTGCGCTGCCAGCAATTCCAAACACCCATCCTGCGGTCCTACAGCAGACAGCTCAAGAAGCCCTTCTATCCACTCCCGACCCAAAAGCAACAGCTACCCACAGAGACTCGGTACTGGAGGAGGATGTCATCAGACACGGCGGTATGCTAGCGGACAGGCGTTCATCCCAGGCTTCTGTCGGCCCCCTGGGCAATAGTATGCGGTCTAATTCCCTCGCTTCAAACTTGAACTCTGTCACCTCCACACTGTCAAATACATCGCTCCACCCACCAAGCCAGCCATTCGGGAGTTCCCCAAATGGCCATGCCCAAGAGAATGACACAGTAACACTTGGCTTGCGACAATTGACAATTCCTCAATCCAGAGGAGTTTCAATGGACACGCTTCCTGCATTACAGGCCATTTCCCCAGCGCGTGATGGAGCAGCTGCCTCTCCTAGCCAACAGCTACCCTCGTTCCGCCACATGGACGATATAGCGCGATCAGCAACAAGCGATCATGAGGCAACTCGATCAAATAGCTTCCCCCATCGGCCTTCACTGTCTTCTGTAGGACACTCACCAACCTCCATGGTCCGACAACTTTCCATGAGCTCTCATTCTCCAGCAGCACCTTTCCCCCCAATGAGCGCATCGTCTCCCATGAGTGCCAGCGAACCACCTCATCGTGGCGATTTGTTCCTAAGAACCACAGGCGGGGGCGTCTTTAGTACTGATGCACGGAGACCTTCACAAGCGGCATCGGACACTGGTCATTATCCTGCCACAATATCATCCGCTTCAACAAGTGAGAGCTACCAAAGCTCAGATGGCCTCAGTCCTGGTACACAGCCAGCACCTATCGAACAAAGGCCGCGACACATGAGCTTAGACGGTGCACTTGCATCGAGAGTGCTACCACCTCCGTTAGGCTCTGGTTTACAGCATGGCATTCCCTCACACGCCACCGGATCATTCAAATGCGACTATCCAGGCTGTGCTGCCGCTCCTTTCCAAACACAGTACCTTTTGAAGTAAGTAGTTTATTAGTCGTGAGACTTGCCTGTGCCCTGCCAGTTTTGTAAACTGATGTTCGCAGTTCACATACAAACGTGCATTCGTCAATTCGACCACACTATTGTCCGGTGAAAGACTGTCCACGAGGTGAAGGCGGCAAAGGCTTCAAGCGGAAGAACGAAATGATACGACATGGACTCGTACACCAATCGCCGGGCTATGTATGCCCGTTCTGTCCAGACCGTGAACACAAGTATCCAAGACCGGACAATCTCCAGAGGTGTGTGACTCGATAAAATCTCCACTTTTCGCCTAGAGACCGAACTAACGCATTCGCTAGACACGTACGTGTACATCATCCAGATAAAGACAAAGATGATCCCGAGCTGCGAGACGTGCTGGCCCAGCGTCCCGAAGGCGGCAGTCGTGGAAGGAGGCGGCGTGTGAGCGACTCTGGCCACTAAACTTCGTCGAGCCATGACGCCATTATTGCACTTTGGTACCATCATGGCAGTACCGCATTCGGAGTAGGTTCGACAGAGAAAACTGTGAATATCCTACGTTTATATTTTATATTAGTTTTGGGAGGATAACCATGTCTAAGCGTTTTTCACAATTGGGCTGCATGATATACCAAGGGTGGGGCGCAACAAAGGCCTTTTCCAACGAGGGCGGAGATTGGATGTCTTCTTTTATAATCCCTATTGATCGGATATTACTGTTATATGTAATCCCTGCTCCTCCCGAGTCTGCACTTGCACTCTGCATTCTAGCTGTTTCTCTTTTGGTAACTTAGCCTGCGAACCTGGATTTTTCACTACGTTCGCTTGGAGAATTTCAGTAGCGATATCACGTGGTTTGTAAGATTTGATGTCTTGTACCAACTTTTGGAACCTTGGAACTTGGTTATGGGTAATATGCGACCCCCTGTCTAGACATCAAGTACGAAAATGTGAAATCGCACTTGTTACTCAACTTGAGAATTGCAGGACTTTGCACTGGTTCAAAACCCCTGCATGTGGAGACTGTGGCGTAGGCAGATGACGTAGAAACACTGCGAGAGACAAAGAGGCGGGGAAAGGAAAAAAAAGCCAACATTTGTTAAAATCATTAATTAAAAGATCAGGTGGCCCCAGTAACTGCTCTTGAACACACAGGTGGACTCGCAATGAAACAACCCGTACTCCAAATCCTAATGTCCCAGAATGAACACAGTGACTGACGCGAAACATGCTGGTAGGCTCAAAAGAAATTCGGCTTCATCTAGCAGTTGCACCCTGCAGGTCCCTGTGTCTGGTTGGCTTCCGGCCTTAGGTTGACCCCCTGTCGTTGCTGGCCTGGCCTCAGGTTCCGTGGGCCTGCCTGGTCAATAGGCAGCTTCTTTGCAATAGCTGTGAAGAGCTCCTTTACGTTCTCGCACGTCTTTGCCGATGTCTCAAAGAAGAGCAGGCCGGCCTCGCGGGCATATTGTTCTGCATCGGCAGTAGAGATGGCGCGCTTATCGGGCGATTCTGTAACAAGATCGAGCTTGTTTCCAGCAAGAGCGATGATGATGTTCTCGTTCGCTTGGCGTTGAAGCTCCTTGACCCAGGCCTTGGCCTTATCCAAAGATGCCTATGTTCCGTCAGTACCGCGGTTTCAGGTTGCGCAGAAAGTACCTACGGCCTGTGTGATGTCATATACGACTACGGCGCAGTTTGCATTTCTGTAGTACATGGGCGCAAGCGACTTGTAGCGCTCCTGGCCTGCTGTATCCCAGATCTCAAACTTGACCGTTGTGTTCTCATCGAGGGCGATGGTTTGGGTGAGGAAGGCGGCGCCAATAGTAGATTCCCGGTAGTCGTCGAATTGGTCCTGTGTGAATCAGCCGGGGGTTTTCTCGTGGCTGGGGGTAATGATAGCCTACCTTAACGAAGCGCAATACCAGAGACGACTATGGTCATGTTAGCTTCGACTATGGCTGCCTTGATAGACGTACGCACCTTTCCGACTGCGGACTCTCCTATGCAGTGTTAGTCGTACGCATATCAAACGAGATTCAGCAAATCCTACCCAACAGCACCAGCTTAAACTGGGCGAATCTAGAGCCTCCGGGCCGTTGGCCTTGCTGCATCCTGGCCGACATGGTGGGCGTGACGCGGCGCTATCGGCAAGTACGTGGTGGGGTGGTGAGGCGTAGTGTATGCGGTATAGAGCGGGGGAGAGACTCAGGGCACTCTTGATCGGACTTGTGACGGGAGAGGCAGGGGGGCGGTGGGTGAGGAGGATGAAAGAGCTGGTTGCTGCTGTGACGAGGTGCTGCGTGCTGGTGCTCTTGGCCTTAGCGCCGGGGACCCTTTGCCCGCAAGGGCCGCCATGACGAAACACGACCAACACCCATGGCTCCATGTGCTGTCGTTTGAGAAATTAACACCAATACACCTAAGCTACCATTGGAGGGCCTGCATAGCGAGGAATAGAGAGTCTCCGCTTCCCACTCTCCCATCATGACTGTCGCCTTGCCTTATCGCGACATCAATGTGCACTCGTCGCCCTCGCACTATGCCTTCTCCTCGCCCTCTTCTCCCTCAGCACCTACGCTTGTGATAGATCGCCCCTCAGGCGACATCCGCCTGCACGATGGAAAGCTGCTGGGCTCGAAGCGCGTTTCGAGCATTGCAGGTATTCTCGGTATCATCAAGTTGCGACTAGGTACACACACCCCATACAGCCTAGGAGGACACGAATGCTGATGCATGTGAAGACAAGTACATAATCGTCATTACCAAGGCCCAGCCCATGGGCAGGATAAAGGGACACATGATCTACAAGATTGTCGCGACCGAGTTTCTATCATTACGCGAAAAGCCGCTGCACGACCCTGATGAGGACAACTACCTCAGTCTGCTCAAGACGCTCCTCAAGACCTCGCCCTTGTTCTTCTCCTACTCATTCGACATCACCAACACCTTCCAGCGACAGGCACACCTTGACCCTTCGATCCCCCTATGGAAGCGCGCCGACGATCGCTTCTACTGGAACCGCTTCGTGTCCAGCGACCTTATCGACTTTCGCGGAGGACTAAGCGGCGGATATGGAAGGCACTCGAGTGGGAACCACCCCGGCGCGGACCCCTACATCCTCCCTATCATGTATGGCATGATGGAGATCAAGAACACCTCGATCAAGGGGACTCCGCTTACTTTCATCCTCATCACCCGGCGGTCGCGTCTCAAGGCTGGAACGAGATACTTTTCGCGCGGCATCGACGAGAATGGCAACGTCTCCAACTTCAACGAGACAGAACAGACCATCATATTGAACGACAAAGCTTCAAGCGGACCAGGAGGCTTTGGCGCAAACCAGAACGGTGCTGCGGGTGCTGCCGCTGGCAAGGAGACGCAGGTACTCGCATATGTTCAGACAAGAGGCAGTGTACCCGTGTACTGGGCTGAGATCAACACCCTAAAGTACACTCCTAAGCTCCAGGTCCGCGGAGTCGAGAACGCCCTGCCAGCGGCAAAGAAGCATTTTGCTGAACAAATCCGACTATACGGTGATAACTGGATGGTCAACCTTGTCAACCAGAAGGGTCGTGAGCAGCGAGTCAAGGAAGCATACGAAGAGATGGTCAACCTGCTCCACACTTCGCCGGCCGAGAATGTTGAAGGCGACAGGATAACACCCGAAAAGTTTCACATCATCGACCCTGCGAGGGCCCAGACGGTATACGATCGCTTGCACTACGTCTACTTTGACTTTCACAACGAAACCAAGGGACTGCGATGGGACCGCGCGAAGCTTTTATTGAACCAACTGGAGCCGCATATCCTGAAGCACGGCTACTTTTGCGGTGTTGACATGCCAGGAGATGCTGGCGGTGTAGAAGTCAGACGCCACCAGACCGCCGTTGTGCGAACCAACTGTATGGACTGCCTCGACCGCACCAACGTCGTGCAGAGCATGCTTGGTCGCTATGTCCTCTCGCGCATGCTCATCGACCTCGGTCTGATGCGCGAAGGCGAGAGTGCAGAAGAAGACCAGGCGTTTGAGCACCTCTTCCGCAACGTGTGGGCCGACAACGCCGACGTCGTCTCAAAGTCATACTCTGGCACTGGAGCGCTCAAAACAGACTTCACCCGCCTCGGTGTACGAACAAAGCAGGGTGCCCTCCAGGATCTCAACAATTCCATCACACGCTACTGCCTCAACAACTTCGCCGACGGGCCCCGCCAGGATGCCTTTGACCTCTTCCTCGGCACATACCTCCCCAGCGACTCTGCCATGAGCGGTCAACTCCTCTTTGCAGACCGCCGCCCCCTATTCATCCAATCAATACCCTACATCCTCGCCGCAAGCATCTTCCTCATTCTCGTTGGCACCTTCACGCGCCGCGCCCCTGATGCTGCTGTCTGGCCTCTGCGCCTTCTGCTTCTTTTGTCGATCCTTACAGCGGCGGTATGCTTCAACTTTATCTGGAGCAATGGCACTCTTTACGTAAGTATTTACATACTTCGCCTCTATTCTACGCTGTCAACTGTAAGAAGCGGTGTGCTAACTTGACCGCCACAGGTGAACTGGCCTAAACTCAACCGCCAACCTCCCCAGATCGAAGCCTTCCAGGAGACGCTGTCCAAGGTAAGTCAGCACTCTGTTGTTGGGCCGCTTGTTGGCACCAAACATGAGCGGGGGAAGAGTGATGCGCGATTACTTGGCTTGGAAGAGGGTAAGAAGAGGATTGAGTAGTTGGTGTGGGGTAGAGCAAGAAGAAGGGTATTTTCTATTTTCTTATATTAGAGGGTGAGGGTGAGGGTGGTTTCTGTTGAGTTGCTTTCTTAAAGTGTACTGTTAGCTTGCTTTTGTCTGCTGTGCTTGCTTACTTGTATTCGGGGGGTTGTTAGAAGGATACTACTAAATCTTTTTAATACAATGGGTCTTATGGTCACATATTCACTTTCATGCATGTGCAAGGTTTGGTGATCATTTGTATTATTGGATTAGACTTTTTGCTGCTCCATCATCTACGATCTGTAGTCCTCGTCCTTCCGTTGAAGTTGGGAGTGAAAGTAGGTCCTTGCATGTGCTCGAGGTGCCATCTTCTCGAGTATCCATTTCCTGTCATGAAGAGTAGTGGCTTCGTGCTTCCAGAATCTCGTGTCGTAAATCCATCCATCCATTCATCCATCGCTCATCGGAAAAGTACTGCCCGAGCGTACTCAGGGTGTTGTGTCGTGAATCCATCGTATGTCGTAAAAAGGAATTATGTTTGGTGTTGTCCGGGTATCGTATGAGAAAGTCGCTGATTAAGGTATGTACTAAAGAAATTGAAAAAGCTCTTTGGTACCATAAAAGTGTGGAGCGCACGTTGTAGTCGTAGAGTGTCGTGAGTAATGCTGTCAAAGAGAAAAGCGAAATGCGCTTAGGCGCCATGTGATGCAGTCAAGACAACGACGTCAAATTCATCGTCGATGCTCTCCTCACTCTGAGTGGCCGAAGCGTCCATTTGTGGGTTTTTGGTCGAGTTGCCGAAGCGGCTGTTGACAAAGTCCCAACCATCGCCCTCGAGACGGGTGCGCAAGCGTTCGAAATTTGAGTTTGCTGCGCGGTGAAGGAGTGAGGCCCAGTCTCCTTGCTTGGCTGGTGCACATGTTGATAGGAGGAGCTGACCAGAAGTTGCAGGGTTTCTGGGTTCTTCATCGGCTTCCCAGTCCTCGAGTTCGGGTAGAATCCATAGATCAGACTCTACGCCATCTTGGCCGTTTTGGTTGAGGTTGAGACAGGTGCTGTGGTGGATAGACATGTGTAGATCGCGACCCCGGGATTTTTGTTGTTGTGGAATGTTGTGCGCGAGTGCGACATTTTGGCGGGAGAGGGCTGAAGTAATGTTTACTTTGCGCTTGCTAATAGTGGTTGTTGCTGCTGATGAGGCACGCGATCTTCGCGGCGATATGTCGGTGGCGCATGACGGGAAACTGCCGTATATAGCGTTGCTTAGATCGTACGTGAAGTTTTCCTCGTCACTCGCGCCCGCGGTGCGGTTCGGCCCGTGAGACATGGCTGGTTGCAGGTGTGTAGGTAAAGCTTCCAAGAGGGTGGATGGGGTTCAAGTTTTGTATGAACTGCCTGAGTAGAAAAGTTTGTGGTGTTTGAGAAGTGCCGCGCTTTGCTGCGCTGTTCTGTTTGTAGCCGAGGTGAAGCCACAGGCGAGATTTTCAAGTGGGTCTTTTCTTTTTGGAGTGCAGAAGCCCGCGAGCTTGGGAGAGTGTATGTGTTTGTGAGCTGGAAAGCGGCAGCCTGCTGGCTTGTGATTATAGCTGTGATCTGATGACGTTGCAACTTGTGGTGACGCGAAGGCTGGCCTGATTTGTCTTGTTTCAGTTGGAGGTCAACTTTGGAGTATGTGAGATATGGAATGTAAAATGGAAGAAGGAAAGGAGCAGACGAAGTAGCTTATAGGAAAAGAAAGTTAGTAGGGCATAAAATTTTGTGGTACCGCAGATGGTAGAGCGACCGCTGTTTGCGGTTCGGTAGACACACCCGTAATGCTTTTACACTCAAACGGGTATATTCATACAAAATGTGGGACTGCTGGGCAAATGGTTACAAAGTACCATGGATTGCGCAGAAAATTCTAGCTCTCTAAGCCGCAGCAGCGAATAGATCCAGGGTCGTGTGGTAAGATTGGTGCTGGACCACAGAACGGGGGGTAAGTATGAGGTATTGCCGACTGGCCCAAGCGCCTGACGTGTGTTTCCGGTCCTGCTCCAAATCTTCATGAGGGTCGGCATTGGCATACGACCATCAACAACCCCGTCCCCCATCCTCATCCTCGCCATCCGGAGGCAGCCCACAATGCTGCGTGCCTCGATTCTTCGGGCTCGTCCAGCTGTCCGGCCATTGGCTCGGGCCGCCCGCCCGCAATGGCATGTCGCCCAGCGCTTCTATGTCGACGACAAGAAGAACTTGGGCGAAACAGCTGTTCCCAACCCGGCCCCTACTACGCAGCCGTCATCAAGTCCATCAAACCCGACACCTGTTCAGGAAAACACCATCCCCGCCTCTGAAGTGCCCAAAGGTCCACCTGCCCCAGACAGTACCATAGGCGCATCCCGCGATGCCCCAACCACACAGCCCTCGACAACACCACCAACTGGTACCGGCACGGCCAGTGTAGCGCCCGATCCAATCAAGCCACTACCAAAGAAGAAGCGACGGAGGTTCCGCAGGTTTCTCCTCTGGCTCACTATCCTCTCTGGCCTTGGCTACGCAGGTGGTGTCTGGTACTCGCTTGTCTCGGACAACTTCCACGATTTCTTCACCGAGTACATTCCATATGGCGAGGACGCGGTTGCATACTTTGAGGAGCGTGAATTCCGACGGCGCTTCCCGGGCCGTGCTGGCGAACCCAGGCTCCACCCCCAGATTTCTGGCGAGAACAAGGTCACCATTCCTGGAAGGAGCGGACTGACTGCACGCCCCGCAAAGGAAAACAGCAGCGACCTCGCCAGCCGTGGCCCACATGTCAGTGCAGTGGACGACAACAAGAAGCAGGACAAGACCGAGTCGGGTGGACAACAGCCAAAGGTCTCCTCGCAGACTCCAGTAGCCAAAGAACAGCCCGTCCAGGCCACCGAGACTGCTTCATCCAAAGCCATTACTCCGCTTGACCACCTTAACGTACCCTCTGCCACTGAGCCCGTCGTGCAAGATGTTGTCAAGATTGTCAACGACATCATCACCGTCGTCAACGCAGACAATGCCCACGATGGCAAGTACAACTCTGCGCTAGACAAGGCCAAGAGTGAACTCACAAAGGTCGTTTCCGACATCAACGCCATGAAGGAGACGCTCGAACAGCAAGCAGAGGCCAAGGTCAAGGCCGCCCATGCTGAGTTCGACCAAGCCGCCAAGGAGCTGATCCAGCGTCTGGACCACCAAATGCAGGCACAGGAGACGCAGTTCAAGGAAGAGTTCGAGAATGAGCGTGAGCGCCTGTCCCAGTCATACAAGGAGAGGCTCCAGTCGGAGCTACAAGCTGCACAGAAGGTGTACGAGCAGAGCCTCAAGAACCGCCTCCTCGAACAGAGCATCAAGATGCAAAAGTCTTTCACAGCCACCGTACGGGAACGTGTCGAGGCCGAACGTGAGGGTCGTCTTGGCAAGCTGAATGAACTCTCTTCATCAGTTCACGAGCTTGAGAAACTTACTGCCGAATGGAACAGTGTTGTGGACGCAAACTTGAAGACACAGCATTTGGTTGTCGCCGTTGAGGCCGTCAAGTCTGCACTCGAAACCCAAGTCGTTCCCAAGCCTTTTGTCACGGAGCTGGCTGCTCTCAAGGAGATTGCCGCTGATGATCCAGTTGTGAGCGCTGCTATTGCCAGCATCAACCCCGCCGCATACCAGCGCGGCATTCCCAGCTCGGCTCTGCTAATTGATCGTTTCCGTCGCGTTGCAGGAGAAGTCAGGAAAGCTGCTCTCCTGCCTGAAGACGCAGGCATGGCGTCCCATCTTGCTTCCCTGGCCATGTCCAAGGTCCTCTTCAAGAAGTCGGGTCTTGCTGTTGGTGCAGATGTTGAAGCCGTCCTTGCACGAACCGAGGTTCTGCTCGAAGAGGGTGATCTGGACGCTGCCGCGCGTGAAATGAATGGCCTGCAGGGGTGGGCAAAGGTACTAAGCAAGGATTGGTTGAGCGAGTGCAGGCGAGTACTTGAGGTCAAGCAAGCGCTAGACGTTATTGCTACGGAGGCACGTCTAAACAGCCTACTCATCGACTAGGGCATTCTTCTTTCTTAATCTGCCCTAGCTATGATGACGCATATATAGCACGGTGCCCTTTTTCCCTTTGAGTTGATAGAGTCAGCACTGCAGCTTGTACGAGTAGCTTATAAACGTTGTCCATGTTCAGACTGTTGGCACTCGGAAAGTTCTTGATATGTGAGTCTGAGAGAGAGTTATTTTGAGGTCTATAGAAAGCTTTCACTAAGGTTTGTCGTCTCAATCACCAAGGACGGACTGGGAAAGAGAGCATCGCCACCCAATGCTTGTATATGTGTGCAGACACATAGTTCAAAGAGGGCCGATTGGAAAGCATGTCGGTCGTCGAAGCAAATGGCAGACCCTGAACGAACCAGGGACACGTCCATGCCGTGATGATGCGTACAGGAACCCTAATCTAGAACATGGCTACCACCATCGGTTCCCTTGCACATACGCGTATATCCCCACACATGTCACTGACAGTCGACTGGCCGGCGCACTTCAAGAGCAGTACCAATTACATATGCGAACCACCGTCTGCGGAGGCCAGTAACCGGGTCGGTGGCGGAGCATCACTGCACAAGCAGCAGGTCTTGACACTGGATCCACACATGCGCCTTCCAAGAGCAAATTAAGCACGCCCAAGAACAGCCAAGGGCCCGCTATCTAGTGGCTTCGCTGTGCTTGTTTATCAAGCGCACCTTGATGTTTGTCTTTCGCAGCTTCCGTTTTGGGCAGTGGCGCAGAAATAAAAGAGGGGCTGGAAGCTTAGCCGGGCATTGCATATTATGACTTTACATTATCTCCGACATGTTATGTAGCTGGTATTGTTTACTCGTGCGACCTGACAATGAGCAAGTATGTATCATCTACACGCAGTTATCTGCTCTACTTCAGTCAGCAGCACTCCAATTGCCCCCGATGGACCGAAAAAAGCAAAACTAGTTATGCTTCCATCAAACGACGAAAATGCTGCGATATCCGCCCCGAAAGATACGAGGCTGGGATCGGCGTGCAGGCTAGTATGCAGCCCGTCTGTGCTACTATCAACCTTCCAAATGGGGTACCAGTCCCCTTCCTGCGCCGAGGGTGGTCCAGCATGTGTAATGACGCGTTGCTTTCCAGAAGGCTTAAATAGCCGTCGAGAACGTTTATTGAAGATCCACCGACTCTCTCTCGCTCCTTGTATACACGATGCATTTTTTTGCGTCTGCTGTGTTGGTTGCCATCGCTGCAAGTGATGCGCTTGCATCACCTGTGAAGGCGAGATCGCCGTATGCGGTCAAGGAAACGCACTATGTACCACGCGAGTGGCAGAAGCTCGGCAGAGCCCATGGAGCGAAGACCATTCAGCTGCAGATTGGTCTCAAGCAGGGGAGGTTTGAGGAGCTTGATCGTCATCTTCACGAGGGTATGTTTATTTGGGTTGCAAATTGGGATATAAGCTAAAATTGAAACAGTCTCGGATCCTGACCATGTTCGTTATGGCCAGCATTTGACCCCCGAAGAGGTCGACGAGCTTGTTGCTCCCACCTCGGAGACCTATAATTTGGTTCATGAATGGCTCCGTGAGAACGGCATCAGCACCGACAACTTGGGTTACAGCTCGGCAAAGGACTGGGTTATCGTTCACCTTCCCATTGAGATGGTTGAGAGTCTTCTCGACACAGAATATCACACGTACAAGCACAAGGATGGCTCTGTCGTTGCCCGCACGACTAAATGGTCGCTTCCCCGCCACCTTCATAGCCACATCGATACCGTGCAGCCCACCACTTCATTCTTCAAGACCACAGCTCAGGCTTCGACCTTGTATGATGAGCAGGCTGAGGTTCCCGCGAGCTACAAGACTCCCTTGAACAACACAATTGCTGCCGTCTGCAACGTGACATCCGTCACCCCTGAGTGCTTTCAAACTCTCTACAAGACAAAGTGGTACCAAACCAAAGCCAGCCACAAAAACAGCGTCGCCTTCAACAATTTCCTTGGCGAGATTCCTATCCGCCCAGACACCAAGAAGTTCCTCGAGAAGTACAGACCAGAGGCCGTCTCACAGGCTTACGGCTTCAAGACCATTTCCATTGACAACGGACCCCTCCAAGACGGAGCTCTCACCCTAAACCAGTCAGCCAAAGGCACCAGCAGGGAAGCCAACCTTGACGTCCAGGCCATCGCGGGCATCAGCTGGAAAACTCCCATCACCTCTTACTCAACCGGTGGCTCGCCCCCTTTCACCCCTGACATTACCACCCCCACGAACACAAACGAGCCCTACCTCGTATGGGTAAACTGGCTCTTGACCCAGCGTAGCATCCCCAACATCATCTCTACATCGTACGGCGACAGCGAGCAAACCGTTCCCCGCGCCTATGCCGAGCGTGTATGCCGCCAATTCGCCCAAGTCGGTGCCCGTGGAACAACCCTTTTCTTCTCCTCTGGTGACAGCGGTATTGGCGGCACAGACTCCTGCTACACAAACGACGGCACCAACAAGTACCAATTCAACCCCAACTTCCCGGCCTCTTGCCCCTACGTCACCACTGTCGGCGCTACCATGAACTTCCAGCCCGAAGAAGCCGCATACAGACCTTCTCGCAACACGACTGCCGGATTCCGGGACCTATACGCTAGCGGCAGTGGATTCAGCAACTACTTCTCCCGCCCCTCTTACCAAGACAAGGTTGTGCCCAAGTACATCAAGGAGCTTAACGGCACGTATGACGGTCTTTACAACAAGACTGGCCGTGGATACCCCGATCTCGCTGCCCAGGGTCTGTACTTTGCCTACTTCTGGAACGGAACGGAGGGTACCATTTCCGGTACTTCGGCCTCTTCACCCCTGACCGCTGGTATCTTCGCCCTGGTCAATGACGCACTAATTTCAAAGGGAAAGCCTACGCTGGGCTTCTTGAACCCTTGGTTGTACAAGAAGGGTTACAAGGGCCTTACAGATATCACAAAGGGAACGAGCCATGGATGCAATGTTGATGGTTTCCCGGTCACCAAGGGCTGGGACCCTGTTACTGGGTTCGGTACTCCTGACTTCCCGGAGTTGGTCAAGTTGGCGTGCTAAATAACGTGTATTTTTGTAAAATAAGGAGCATGTGATGATAGTCATGATGTATGAAAGTTGAAATGTATATATTTAAGAAATTTCGATATGTATGACTACATGAACAGCCACATAAAATGTAATATGCACTGTGAGTCCACGATGATGTATGCAGAAGTAGATACAAATAATATTATTAGTACCTCTTGGTCAGCCATATAGCTGACTCTGTTTGCATTTAATCGTCCTACAGAGCTAGCATTTATCTGTGCAAGTTTGATTTTCAACTAGGATAGGAAAGTTCCCTCTAAAGGTATAGATTATTTATAACCTCACCACACAGTCAGCCTTCCAGACGATGCAAGGCTGTAGCAACATCCTGAATCTAGTATACTTTTAAAATTCGGTCTCGGACAGAGAAATAGGTACTGTTGTCGCTGATAAGCCTACCTGAAAATATTTGCTGATTTTACAACCTGATACTTACCGCGTGTTGTGGTCTTTGCTAAACTGCAAGAACTTAAAAAGTCACGTTGTCCGTAAATAGTGCCAAGAGCACAGAAGGATAGATTAAAAGGCTTATTGCACTTAAACAGGCAATATGCCGATATAAGCACCATAAGCAGCATTTCGAGACCCCCACACCTAGCTAAGCCGCCGCAAGGCTTGGCACAAGCTTACATGCGAACGTGTCAAAACACCATGTTGGTTGCTCTTAGTTTCGAGCCACCGTACGTACGTGGCGAGCACGTGACTACGTGCGTGGCCCGTGCCGTGGGGTGGGATTCAGTTCGTACGCGAGCTGCAGCCCACCTCCTCTAATCAATCATAACCATCTACTTCAACTCGTTGCAACGACCGTTACTTGATTCAACCTCACCTTTGCCGTATCAACACACCATTTCTACGCTTTTTGTGTTTGCCAGGTAGAGGTATGTTACCTATTTAGGCTTCTTGGATTTGTGATACCCCAACTCGATACTTGAAAATTCATAAGCACCATAAGCAATACAGAGGACCTATGCCTCTAACCTCAAAGATGCTTAGCGCTGATAAAAGTATTTAGGAAAACTACCTTACAAGAGATAGCCGACAAGATACAACGTCACTTGACATACACACCACCAACAATTCCTATTACGAAGCACACACTTTGTATGTTGAACAGACTTAGCAGGCCAACTACGTACTTATCCGCTTCTAGATGGCGTCAGCAAAGAGCTTCGAAGGTTACTAAGGTTTGGACTATTGATCCCTTCACTAGTTTAGGGACAAGCGCGGTATGATGTACACTCAAGGCGGACAACATAGTGTCAGGGAATGTAGTATCTGAGCAGGTATAAATATAAGAGCAATTCGAGTCTTTCAAGATATACAGACACTTGATACATTGCAGTCAAACAGTGTTCCATCAACTTCAACACCCACACTATACCTCAACTTACTCTCCCAAATTTCAACCCACGTTCAAGATGCTCTCCCTCAAAGCAACTACCGCACTTGCTTGCGGACTTCTCATGGCTGTTACCACCGAGGCCAAACTCAATTTCGGAATGGACGCCAGCAGCAACTGTAAGTCCATCTAGATCAGATGACCCATCAGAAAAAGAGGAAAAGCTTAAGCCTCTTTCAGTTTTGTGGGTCGACGGGCAAAGCTCATGCACAGCCGTCAGGATCAATGCCCGTGGCGAGAATCCGTGCGGTCACAAAGTCACTTTGAACAACGGCCAGACCTGTGAGTGCTACAGTGCCCCTCCAACCCCTTGCAAGTTACATCGCTTCTAACAGAACCTGTACGTATTAGACAGTCTAGAAGGCTGTGGTGGTCAGCAGTTTATCCTGAACGGCGATGGATCCTTCAACAGTGTGTGCGGCACCCAAGTTTTCAACACAGACTGTGGCATCCAACGTACTTTGAGGTGCCCTTTCTAAGTCCGCATCTCGCTTTTGTCCAAATTTGACTAGCCTCTGCTACAGATTCCATTCAATAGCCAAAGGTCTTTGTCCTCGATGCCAACATTTTGCACAAGCAACATTTTGATGACGAGGCCAGCAAAGCTTCCATCAACAGTCAAGTTTCTGGATAGGTGGTTATCTACACACTCTTTTTATTAGTACTGTCATTAGGCTTTGCGCTTTAGCAAGCTCCACCTCATTCTTTACAGAATCATCGATAAAACAAATCTGGTTTTCTAATCCAACGGCATCAATGGCCTCGTTGAACGTCAGTGCATCCCTAGTAATAACGTGAATATGGTAACTTGCCTATCTGGCTACATGATGAGATCTTGTGATAGGTGACGCAAAAGCATGGTTCTACCGAGGAAGTCAAATGCCTTGACACAAGCGGAGATGCTATCTAATTTCTCACAGCTTCAATAGTCTGAGGGACCAAGCTAAGGACTCTACTAATAATTAAGCTGCTGCGTTAACGCAGGAATCTATCGCAAGAGACTTGTGTCTGTTTTTTGTATTTAGATTGTGGTGCTGTAAGTATAGATACATAGTTTGAACATAGCCTTGTATTGTTTAGTTAGATCACATATCCTCCGTGCTCGCTACTGATTCATCGCCAAAGCTCCTCTCTCTTCTCTTTTCTTTCTCTTTATAATCCTCACCTTGCTAATAACTCTACGTATCTGGTTATTATTACAGATCACTACGAGGAACATCGACTCAAATCCGGGTGATCCTGTAGCCTAGAGGCAGATACATGTCGTCATATCTTTACCAGACACTACTCAAACCCCTCACGTGCCATTGGAAGTAGCAACATCAGGGTTCGGGTAATACCACGCTGCCACAGCCACGATGACGTACACAATCTACGTAATCTGTCAGCAAACTTGTTCCACTAACCACACGCCCAGTCAAGACAAGAACTTACGATAAGCATGGCACCCTCGAGATAATTGCTCTCTCCATCCCTCAAGAAGTTGCCTACGACAACAATACTCAACACAAGCAGAACAACCATGAAAATCTCAAAGTTGAGATCCATGTCCTTGCCCATGATCCAGCCTACGATGACGACAAGTGGGGCATTGAACAAGGCTGTTTGGATCGAAGGGCCGATGCAGTGGAAGAGGGCGAAGTTCTAAATGGATTACGTTAGCAGCGGTATGTTCCAGTGGCAGAGCTTACGTACAATCTGACCATCCCACGCCTCATCGATAGCAGTCAAGTGCTCAGCAGCCTTTTCCACAAGCGGAAGCATGATGAGACCGAGGAATTGGTCAGGGACACCCGCTTCAACGACATCCTCGATGCGCTCGACGAGAAAGTAGGCCAACAGTGTGACAAGAGCGAGAGAAAGAATGAGTGCAACAATGCATTCTGTGAAAGTGAACTTGGGTTTTGCGAGATCTTCGTGGTGGTCTAGATCTGCGTGTTCGTCTGCTTCGAGCACTTCGTCGAAGAGGGAGTGTTGGGAACGGGCGTTGTACCAAATGAAACTGAAACACGATCAGTAGTGACCAGATGGAAGGGGGGTGTTACCTACATGCCAAAAGCGATGATCAGCAGAATTGAAGTAATCTGACTGATTCTCAACACGTTATGCTTGAGTACCTCCTCTGTAAACTCGTGCTTGCCATGTGCCGTCTTAACCGCCGAGCCCTTGAGCGCACTGTAATACGCACTCGGGATGAGCAAGCCAAACCCAGCGACCAGCAACAATCCAGAACCCACCTCACTAACCGAAGCATGGAACTTTTGACTGAGAGTCCTCAATCCGCCAACAAAAAAGCACAGTCCCAAGCATAACAGCAGATTCGTAAGTATAGACCCCAGAATGGCAGCTTGGATAACAGGCACCAAATTTCCATCTTCACTAGAGCCTCCCTCATCACCACCCTCATGTTTCGCAATCAGCACCACAAACAGCACAATCTCCACAATGGAGCCAAACGCAGTTTCAATCAGAATCCCGCTGACTTTAGGCATCTTCCTCGCAAACTCCTGGCCTGCGAAGCCCAGCAGATTGGCCACGGGAACCATGCCAATGTAACTCGTAACAAACACAGCAATCGGCATGTTGGGAGCGACGAAATTCAAAATGAAGGCTACGAGGACCAAAGGCCAAAGGAGGTTTGTATATTTTGCTGCCTTGCTCCCGGAGCGCCAGGCTACGGTGAGGAAATGGGTGGGATGGAAGCCGGTGCGACCGCTTTCGCCATCCGGGTGGATGTTGTGCTGAGGGAGGAAATTGTGGGCATGATTGAGCAAGGGTACCGTCTCGGAATGATGGTTGTGGGTGTGGTTGTGGGCCATGGCTGGTTGCCCGATTGAGCAATGGGCTGGCTTCGGCTGTGGAGGAAGCTGTGGTTGGTGCGGGAGCTGGGGAATGAATACCCTGGATAGCGCGACCCCACAAAGCTTAAAGGTCGGGCGAATGCGCGGTTGGCTGCTGCATGCAACGAATGAAGCTTGCGAGTTTGGCTGTGAAAGAGCAATTGATGAGAGAAGAAGGAGGAGATGAGGTACAAAGATGGCGGGGACGACGCTGGCACGAGAGCCAAGACGCGGCTGAGGCTGGGCGTTTTCGCAAAAAACAAGGCGGGACCTCGGTGACAGCGGTTTTGTCAACGGTAACGTTGAACGATGATGTGCATTGCTCTTAATTTGCTGAGTGGTTGGTATCTATGATACATGCCGAACTGACCTGAATTGCGCCTTCACACTGTTGTATAGACATGCCTTAGTAATGCACTAAGCAATAGTAACAGCCATGTACCAAGTACACAAGCGGCTTCTCCTCGTAACCTTACAAGACAGCTTCCCACGACAGAATAACTAATCCCCGTGCAAAGCAGCCTCTTCCATAGCCAAGACGGCATTCTCTAACTCCCGTATTCTCTGCCCCACCCTCCTCTTCACTTCGTCTGCAACAGCTCTGTCCTCTCCCTCAACAAGACCATTGTAGTATTCCAGTAGCCGATCCAGTTCTTCCCGCGCAGCAGCCCGGTCATCAGGCGCATACGTAGTATTCTTCTCACTTTCTTCAGACGCAATCTCAAACTCATCCTTGGCTGTACCATACAACTCCTGTATTTGCTCAATTGCCTCGTCGACGGCTTGTTGTGACTCTGGAGACAACGGGGACGGTGCTTGTGAAGTCGACGATGCGAGTTTTGCGCGTGGTGACGAGGTAAATGTACGGACTGAAGAGAGTGTGTTGTAAGGTGTGTTGAAGCGCGTCCATTGGTTGGGCGCAGCGAGAATAGATGTGTTGCGTGCCTGGTATGGAGGTGGGGGAGACGGTGACCGTGAGCGGTCTTGTATGTAGGATTGGTGCGAAAACTGCTGCGAGGCTGGGTATGAGGTGCGCTGTGCTGCTATTGCACTTGCACGAAGCGTCGTTTGGCGGAGTAAGGTGCGGATGGGTGCTGCACCAGAGGCCATTTTCGGTGACGATTGCCGATGGTACGAGGCTTGAAATTGGCGGGCGACTGAGCGTCTCGCCACGCTGCGGAACGAAGGCGCGCTTCTGAAAAGTAAGTGCGACATTGTGGGTAGTCTTGGGCTGGGTGAGGGTGAGATGGGCTGTGTTATGAGCCTGAGGTTGGCCGGAGTTAAGCATCTTTGTCCGTCATGACCGCCTCGCTTCGCCCACGTGCTGCTCTGTTCGCATGTGACATCATAGCATGACGAGTCTCACCAATATCTAGAATGTCTCTCGGGGCCTAATGAAAGTTATCTCTGTAGTGTGCAGTCGTCTGTATATGGGAACTTGTACAGTTCCATGTCATTAGTACCAGCAAGGTAAGAGAGCACGGCCCACATGCCGGTAGAGCGATATACAAGATAATTGCTATTAAAACCTGAGAACTTTGTATTTCCTTCCTTGTGCGCCTTGAGTTGAACGTAAATCATGAAAAGTGCGTGCCTGACATGAAATGCTTCGCCCCTAGAAAGGACGTTGAGATCGACTGCCCCGCTGCTGTCGGCCATGGAGAACCGCGTCGAGCTCGTCTCTGAACTGCGTCGACTTTGTTGGTCCATGCTCAAACCTGCCGTTGGTCTTGCGCTTCTCCTCGCTCATTTCTTCTTTCAGAATCTTGATCTGCTTTTTGATCTCGACCCAGAGCTCTAGCTTGTCAAGGTCTGAGTCTGGTTCCGAGCCAATATCTTCCGAATTAGCAAAGCGAAGTACTCTGTCAAAGTTGGAGTGGAGAGTGCCAGTGATTGACTTCATCGGATCCTGAGGACCAGACCACCTCTGTGCTTCAAACTCCGCCTCCGCAGCACTCTTACCACCGCGTGCGGCAATGGCAAGCAGCGCCGCAACAAAGGCTTCTTGCAGGTAAGCAAAGGAGAATTTGGGCGTGATCTCCGCAATTTTTTCACAAAGCTCGTCGGGGAAGCTAAGGTCCTTGTTGTCCTCAAGCTTTCCCTGCCAAAACTTGCAGTACTGTACACGTTGGTCGTAGTTTGGGTCTGAGAAGTAGTACTTGCGGTCAAAACGACTGGGCCTCTTTGCGATACCTGGGTCCAGTCTGTCAAGGTGGTTTGTTGAACCTACCATCAGAATGCCATCATTGGACTTAAGACCATCGACCTCGTTGAGGAAGTACGAACGCACATGATCGTTGACGATGGAATCCAGGTCTTCAAAGACGAGATAGCAGGGCGCCTCTTCGCGAGCCTTGCCAAAGATTTGCGCCAAGGCGTATTCAGGGCCACCGAAAGAGGCCAGCGAACGGACGTATAGGGTCGGAACAGCGAGTCTGGAGTCTCCGTTTGCACCGCGTTGGTAAAGGCTGTGCATCATAGCCTTGATGCTGATGGTCTTTCCGTTGCCAGGGGGGCCGTAGTAGATGACACCACGCTTCCACGGCACCTTTAAGTCTTGGTACGTCTGTTGACCGTCGAAGAAATTCTCCACGTCAGCAATAAGCGACTTCTTCATGTCCTCGTCGAGTATGACGCTCTCCCATGTGCTCTTCTGCACTGAATTGTATAGCTCAGCGCTCTTCTGCCAGTAGCCCCCGTCGAAGACCCAGACCTCGTTGTGCAGTTCGGATCCCCACTTGGTCGCGTCCTTGATCAGCTCGTCGACCTTGTGTGTCGCATTAGACAAGATGTAATGCATAATCGGAGTCGGATATGCTCCTGCTCCGTCGCGTCCTTCTGCGACATAGAGTATAGCCTCCTGGTCCTTCCACTTGTACATGTATTTTCCGAATATGACGCGCTCGACCATTGTGCCAGCACCAGAGTCAAGTCTTCTGGCTGGGGGGTTATAAGAACGCAGCTTGACACCTGGGCCGTAGACAGGATCTTTGACCACGTCGTCGAGGGGCGTCGCGTCTGCTAAGCCAGCACCAGCATACGCAAGAAGATTGAGCCTGCCCTGGGGTGCAACCACGAGGTCGAGGTTGGGGTATTGCGTGCGGATTGCTTCAATGAGCATGACATCTGTGTTGATACGTTTGCCCGACGAGTTGTCAAAATACGAGAGGCTCGCCATGTCCTCGTGGGACGTGATGGTTGTGTCTGCCATGTTGAGCTATGGGAAGCTGTATCGCTATGCAGCCGATGCGGTGGTGCAGCTCAGGTTGAAGGGTTTCTAAAGCTGAAAGTGATTTATGTGATGCAGTTGATGTCACGCCGATAAAGTCAAGAGCTTTGTTTGCTCAATGTCGCTGCCTAAACACCGAGTTCAGGCGCGCCAACAGCTAGACGGGGAAGGTAGCTAAGCTTCCGCGCGGTATGACGGCTTCCCCGCGCTAGAGGGCCATCGACCCATTATTATGTAGCCAGCCGGACTGACGCCGACTTTTCCGTGCGCGTGGTGTTCTATCCAATCCATCTCCAGTTCACTATTGCTATGACATGTTTTGTTTGTCTCAAAGCTTATATATGATACTCTGTGCTGAATTTGTTTACATCGCGTTACGCGTGATTACGCACTAATCCTAGGCAACAGCAGACATATCCCGCCAACCTTGACACCGTTGCATCTCATAGACTTACGCACTCAACTCCCCAGAATATGATGGCACAAGGGTAAAGTAGCCTGGGCAGAATACTGAAAAGATGTATTTCGGGAGCGAAATGCTGACGAAAAGATACAGTGACCATGTGTGTCGTTTGCTTGCGCTACCTGCTGAGCTCCGGATGCACATCTACAGCGCCTTGTTCACGCACGATGAGCCCATCGAAATCAGACGAATTCCAATCTCCCTCTACTGTGAGCGGGACCAGCGGTGGTTCACCTTAAATAGCAGAGAGGATCCGCACGACCGTGCACATAGTGAATGCCAACGTCAGATTCGCAAGTGCCTGACTTCTGACATATATCTTGGTACTGGCGTACGAACCCATTCAGAACACTATCCATGCCCACAGTCGATAGCAGGCTGCGATCTGGACCTGAATCTACTGCTCAGTTGTCGCCAAGTCTATTGGGAGGCGCGCAAGCTGCCATATGCCCTCAACACGTTCCTCACCAAGGAAGTGGGCACCTTCTCCAACTTCATGTATTGTCTGAAAACTTGGCAGGTCCAAGCCATGGCTCATCTCACTTTCGAAATTCTGGAAAAGCAGGGTATGACACAATATCTGTCCGAGTGGAACGACATCTTTGCTCTGTTGGCTGCATCTTTCTCTGCCCTTGAAACGACAGCCATCCAAGTGCAGTTGTACGATCCTATATCTGCGTGCTGGAATCCTTTCTGGGATGGTGGACTTCTTGCGCTGGATCATCTTCAGCTGAAAGAAGTCAAATTCATCATTGTCGATGGGGATATGCAACCGTACTTCACCTACTCTGCAAATCCATCACACAATCAGTCGATGCCTTTTCGTGAATGCCGAGACCTTCTCCGCTTAGATCGAGGATACAACCACGGTGACAATGAGTACCTTCGTGTCATTTGTCGAAATTCGCCGAACCCTTGCCCGCTGTACGTCCCGAACCTTATACGCCCCCTGTCCTGGTATGACGGATCGGATCGCATGTTGCGGCATGAAGATATACTTCAGCGAGATTATTCCGCATACCAATACAATTTCGAGGAGTTCGGCACCATGGAACGCGCCATCTTTGGCTATCAATTTGATGCGACAGCAACGTCAAAAGCAGAGATTGAGGAAAACACCAGAAAGCTTCATCGATCACGTGAACGACTGGCACGAAAGCTTTCCTCACAGGCAGTTGAATTACGACCACGTCGCTCTCAGCCATATCACACCGACGCCAACGATGACACGCGAGGAGAGATGGCACCATTGAACTCAACACGTATAAACAATGAAACTCCTGGGCAATGGCGCCGCTTATTGAACGAAGAGACGTTTGCACCTTTCTTCGAGTCGTTTCCGCCTGTGATTCCGGGCAGTGCCACACGTTCTGCACTAAAACTTGCATGCACTGGTTGTTCCGAATCGGTTGAGGCTCCAGGCTGTTTCCTTCACAACTGAGTACGCGAGTGATAGCAAGGAAGATACGGATGGATCAGGCGGTTACAGACTTTCTGATCGAGAATGATAAGCATAATGATGCGCAGCCATCGCTGCCGCGTGTATATGGAGGTAGTGCGGATGGCGGAGGGGGTGTTAGGAGAAGGAAGAATAGGATTATTTGAAGTCTGCGTTTAGTTTAGTTTAGTTTCCCATATATTTGCTCATCATGTTTTGATAGCATTTGTTGCCGACCATGCCCAGGCAAGCGTGTTCTACTTCGGGCCTTCCTCGCTGCATATGTACCACGTAGCGAAAAGTGCCAAGTTGTTACCAAGCCGGGAGAGAGAGAGTCAAGAAACGCCACTTTTCTGCCCTGGTAGTCTTTGTTGCGACGTCCTGTATTAGTCTTGACGACAAGGCGATGCTCCAAAGCAGTTTTTCATATTGTGAGGGTTTAGATAGGAGGGGAAAGCAATATTCGCCACTCTATATTGCCTTGTTAGCATTACCACGATAATGTCACGCCATCTGGCGCGACGAAAGTGCCAACAGCTGAAGCTTTCCATGTTGCGGCGCTGTATCGAAGAACTTGTAGAGATGAATGTTGCGGAGAGATGGAGTGAGGCTCGCAGTTTCCCCAGCGTCTTAACGTTAGACACGCTCTTACGCAGGGACCGAAGCGGAGTCCCCGGATTCCGTCTCTCCACAACTTGGTGGTCCCTACTTCCACCATCCAATGTGTCCGGGGGTCTCGGAAAGTCCGCCAAACGGCATGGATCACAGCACGTACTGTACAAACCAGATTGACAGTCATCAACCGACTCGCAAAGTCTTTGTTGGATTGCGGCTGTGTTCAAAAAAGTTATCAAGTCAAGCGCTCAACCCTATCCTATGCACGTACACGATACAACGTAACACGTTTAGAGCAATGACATCTCGAGCGGCAATTCTCACCTGATGTTTGGGTTGGTAAGCCGAAGCGGCAGGTACGAGACATTGCTTGCTGCAGTGCCATGACGATACACGGTGAGTATTAGCCTAAACTGCTACGGCATGGCGCCATCCTTCCATCTCCCGTGTTCCGCACGACATAGCGGTACAGGTCTGTTGTTGGGGTGTCCCGTTGGTATGGAAGCCAATAAATATCAAACAAATGCTTTGGCCCTTGATAAACGATAATCAACCGTTGTCTTGAGGCGACGCAAGGTTCATTGCGAAAACACCAGTCGAGGGCTGTTTACGTGTGTACGCCTTGCTATCGCGCAGGCAACAAACACGGACGGCAACATGCAGGTGGAATTGAATTGATGACTTTTCCCGCTGGTCCGAAAACATGCAACAGCCAGCATGCGTCTCAACCGCACGCCCAAGTTAGATAGTGAGCTTCTGATCCACACACGGCCCATGTCCATGCGTCCCCAAAGGGCTCACGCGACGCTAGAGTTTGCTCATGCCACAACGGATGGTTTTCCGTGTATGTGCTACTGAGTAAACCTGTCAAATGCCATGTTTAGTCTTTTATTAGGTCCATGTTGTAGTGTTTCTAATGTTCTTGCTAGAGGCGGCCAAGAGGAGAATTATGTCATGATATGGTGGAAGGTGCCGAGGCTCTTGGACAAAGCTTAGCCGCCAAACCCCATGCAACCTCCCGTTGCTGCTCCACGGACTCTGGAAAACGATTTTTTTTCTCTGCCAACCAGGTCAACAATCTCGGAGCAAATTGCTTCTACCACGACTGGGCGCATCGTCTCCATATCCCATACAAAACAAAAGCGCTTGGACCATCAACTGCACAGCGGTGTAGCTGAAAGGGACAGAAGTGCTTTATAGCCTGTTGCACCCGCCATATCCGGCATCCCAGCTGATGGGGCATGGGGAGAAACAAAAACCACCTTACAGGTTCGCGCGCAAGGAAGGGAATCAAAAGCGCCGTGTGCGCCAGCGCGTCTAACTCGTCCGAGCGATATGAGCGTTGATGCACAGGCGGCTCCAGTGCTCTTTGACGCCTTGCTGGCAGGGGCGCACTCGGCCAGGGTAAACCTGCAGTTACGGCTAACATGCAGAATTCACTGACAGTGGTCCGTGTGCATACGACGTCGCGAAGATAGGCTTTTCCTCGTCGCCCATTCTCGTGTTTTGAAATATTTTGAAAAGGGTGCAATCATGTCATCGATCACGAGCAGCGATGATGTAATGCTTGGGGCTTGAAACGGCGACCCGGAAGCCGCCTTGGGAGGCAGCCTTCACCCTTCCCCGCGTCATGACAAGCACCAAAGACGCCCCCATCTGAGCGCGACACACATACGCCCAGTAGTCGATCGGCTGGCGTGCCAATTACCATGCTCTTTGTCGGCGTCCGTCCGGCCTCGCTAAGGCAATTGTTGGCGCCGATCACACCGTGCAGCTGTTCATCGGCTAACCGTGCCCTCAATTCATTGACCATCAGTGGAGACCCATGCTGTCCTTTTACCCGGCCTGGAGAGGCGCCTTGCGGGAAACTGCCATGAGTGGTTCGCTTTAGTACTTGTTTGCTATCTAATTACTTACCCTTAGTCACGTCTCTGGGCTGACGGCTCGTGGCGCTTTGTTGATGGGTAGCGCCCTTCCCTGCAGCGTCTGGACATATATCTCTCCACGCTCCCCCAGACTAGTTCTGTCTCCCCAGACTCTTCTCTGAAACCCTAGAGTTAGTTGGTCCTACACCACGTCAACCAATACAAAACACAATGGCGACAGCTCGTGAGCACAATGATGCCGTGGTAGGTTGCTTCCATGCCCATCATCGACAATTTCTAATCGTCATGACAGCGCGGCCCCAGTTTCGAAAAGGGAACCAGCACGACCGACCATGCCGCAGGCACTAATGGTGCTGGCATGCCTAAGCAAAGGTCGCCTTATGACTATGGCGGCAACCCTCTTGCACATGTTGCTACCAACGATCCGGAACTTCGCCTTACCGCTTTTGGTGGTGAATTCCAACCCGGTCTCTACAGGCCCCCGAACCGCAAGTTCGCCAACCCAGCACCCCTGGGTCTTTCGGCTTTCGCCCTGACCACCTTTGTTCTGTCTTTGATCAACGTTAAAACCCGTGGTCTTCACAGCCCCAACATTGTCGTAGCTCTTGCCTACGGTTATGGTGGTCTCGTTCAGCTGTTGGCCGGCATGTGGTACGTGCTACTCCACCAAAGTTTAAGAAATTGTCTAACGTGCGAATAGGGAAATGGCCGTCGGTAACACATTTGGTGCTACTGCCCTTTCATCATACGGTGGTTTCTGGATTGCTTTCGCCATTGTCCTTACACCCGGTGGTTTTGAGATTGAAACCGCCCTCGCTGAGACGGGTCAATTCTACAACTCTTTCGGCCTGTTCCTGATGGGATGGTTCATCTTCACCTTTATCCTGCTTCTCTGCACCCTCCGATCGACCGTGGCCTTCTTCTTCCTCTTCTTCACCCTGGACATGGCCTTCCTCCTACTTGGAATTGGCTACCTCCAGGCTGACGCTGCTGGTCCCCAGAGCGACTGCATTGTTGCCGGTGGTGCTTTCGGTCTCATGGCCGCTTTCGCCGCCTGGTATAACGCGCTCGCTGGTCTCGCGGACAGCTCCAACAGGTTAGTAATCCTCGTACGATCAACTGGAATTCATATGCTAACTAGACCCAGCTTCTTCGTCATTCCGGTTGCTCATTTCCCCTGGTCTGAGAAGGGCCGTGAGCGACGCAACAAGGTTGACAACTCGGTTGCCCGCGCCGAGTCTGGCCACGCTGCCTAAATCAGTGCATCAAATGTACAGATGATGCGAACGTGCTATGTGAGAATATGGAATAAAATGCTGTCATGTATCGGCATGAACAATACCGAGATATACCAGGGATGACACGCATGTTGTTACCTACGGCCATCGCTTACGCTTTTTTAATACTGATTTCGAATACCCAATCTAAACCGATTTACCTGCGCCGATTTCTACCTCTTCTCATATCTCAACGACTGATGTTGGCAATCACAGGATTGTTTTAAAAATCAAAGTGATGCCCACGGGTTTAATCGACACGCGATGGTGAACTGCAAATGTGCATTAAGCTACAAGCTACACTGTCCCGGTTTCTAAGTCAACCAGTATCAGTATGCAAAACCAACTGTTCTACACTTTTAGGTACCTCGGTGTGAAAGTACTATATCCTACACGATCCCAGTAAGCACCCTTTCCCTAAGGCACTCGAAGCTGCTCGCCCCAAATCTGTATCACGAGCTGTTTCTTATTAATCTTACCCATGGCATTCCTCGGGATACTCTCCACAACCTTCATTTCCTGCGGGATCTTGTAATTGACCAGTATCTCCTTGAGCGCTCTCCTCATATCGAGTGCAGACCAAGCCTTGCCCCCCTTTCCACACGTCTTGCCTTGCTCGGAAAGGACAACGACGGCAGCTACTTTCTGGCCCCAGGCTTCCGAGGGGAGACCGACGACGGCGACTTCGTCAATTTGGGGTAGAGACAGCATTTCGCGTTCGATTTCGAGGGCCGACACTTTCTCGCCGCCCGTCTTGATGATGTCGGCTGATTTGCGGCCGTGGATAAAGTACAATGGTCCCCTGGCCCAAGCTTGGTCGCTCTTACCCGCTCCATGAACGTTTCTGCGAACAGCAACGTCACCTGTCTTGAACCACTTTCCTTTGCCGTCAGTGTCCTCTGTAAACTCCTTGGTCGTGGCTTCGGGGTTCTTCCAGTACTCTCTGAAAATGGTGGGTCCGCGGAGTTGGATCTCGCCCTGTCGTTCGCGATTGGATGCTGGATCAATCTCCTTGCCGATCTCTATGACCTCTCCGGTTTCGGTATCCACGAGGCGCGCTTGCACCGACGGTAGTGGCCAGCCAACCGAGCCGTCGACGCGATCTTTGAAGTCGAGGCCACAAGAAAGTGCCATACCGACTTCTGTCATGCCGTATCGCTCCAGGAGCACATTTCCTCCGCTGAGCTCAGTCCAAGCCGTTTTTACCGGTGTGGGGAGGGCAGCGGACCCCGAAATGTTGAGGCGCATGTTGGAAGGGTGGAGAGCAGTTTTGCTAGCAGCTTGGAGTTCAGGCGAAAGGCTCGCATGGGACGATAGTAAGCGCGTGTATATTGTTGGGACGACAGTGAGAAAGGTGATGGGCTTCTTTGATGAATCAGGGTTGGGAAGGAACGGCGCGGCTAGACGATCCCATGCAGCTGTAGCGTTGAAGGGGAATTGAAACTCAACGGTGCTACCAGCGAAGAGGGGTGTGAGCAGCGCATTGACAGTGCCGTGGATGTGGTGTAGAGGGAGTACATGGAGCAGCACATCCTGGCTGCTATAATTCCAAGCTTCGAGCAATGACCGCGACTGTGCTGTCAATACGTCTTGAGGCAGCAGAACGCCTTTCGGTCGATTCGTAGTGCCAGACGTGTATAGCATCATTCCACCCCTGTCGCTTGTGGGTTCTTCCAGTGTGACATAGTCGTCAGTCTTGCCCATCATAATCTTCTCTTGTTTGTAGTTGATGGGCTTGGTCTCCATGCCCTCACCCAATACAAGGTCGGCCTGGCTCTGGAACTTTTCCGAGGAGAGAAGCATGAGAGACTCGCTCTGGTCGATGATGTAGCGGAGCTCATGGGCGGGGAAGGCAGGCGATAGCGGGACGGCGATTGCATGTGCGGCGAGGATAGACAGTAGAGTCACTGGGAATTCATCAGCTCGGCTCTCCACTGCTGCTATACACAACAACAAGGTCGAGAGGAATGCGCACCTACATAGTCATAGCCATTCTCTACCAGAAACGAGATGCGCTGTCCCTCTGCGCTCTGCCCATTACAATTCTGTTGCAACCTGTCCTTTGCAGCAGCGACATCATTGACAAGCTCGCCGTAGGTAAAAGCGCGACCTGATAGGGAGTGAACGATAGCGGTACTCTGCGCGTCGTGCTTCTTGATAGCCTCAAAGATGGGCAGGCGGGGCAATGTAGAAGCCATTCTGATGAGCGACAAAGGCGCGCAGGTAAAACGGTAAGAGCAACGCGTATTATATGTCGACAGGGAGATTGGATGTCGTGAGAGGGTGCGAGAGAAGAAAGTCCGCGCCCACATGGCGGTACGATACCGGGAGAGGGGAAAATCCGGGATCAGCGCAGGTAATGCAGGCTTTCGAGGCTTCGGAGTAGTACGGCGGCTTCGGTTGATTGATATGCTGCGGTCTACACCCGAGTCATTTGTGTCATTGTTTCCTAGCCTCGCTCAGAGGGGCATGTTTTCGGTTTGAAAACACTCCCACGAGCTCGGGCGACGACTTGTGAATGATGAAAAGGGCTTTTTCTCGTCGCTCAGGCTTCGCAACAGCGTCAATGGCTCGTTTTGCTCAGCTCCAAACTTTCGGAACCATGACGTGAACCCGTCCCTGGAAGAGCTTTCCGATCCCGCCGCCTTGGCGCTAACTAGCCTCGGCCTGCAGTTCTGGCGCCGCCGCCACTATCTTCTTTCCCACCACAACGGTTGACTTCTCCCATTGGTTCTGATCAAAGGGGCCGTCCATCAAGTAAAGAGACATTCGTGAATGTTTGTTCGAAAAGCCGGCCTCGCCGGAACGCGATTCATGTCAGCCATGGCCCAATCTATGACTCCAATGGAAGATGCTCTGCGCTCAAAGGCACGGTCTGCATCGTACACACATGTAGAACATCATCTAACTGCAGGATAGATTACAGAAGCATTGAAGCCCTCATCCCTTGAAATCTTCAACGACTCACACAAGCACGCTCATCACAAAGCCATGCAAGGAGTCACCAGCCGAGAGACACACTTTCGGTACACCCATCATCTTCCCTGCTCCACACCCCACCTCTGACTTCTCCTAGTGTCTTCATAACATCCGCAGCCTTCCAAGGCAAAATGCAAGTTGCACGTCACCGCATGGTCAACGCACTGGTAAAAGACGAACTGGCAAAAGAGGGCGGCATCCATGCATTGCAACTCACCACACGCACGCCCGAAGAAGAAGAAGCCAGGAAACAGAAAGAAGCTACACAGTAGTATTCGCAATGTATAGCTAATTTTCCCATACTCCAACCGCAAAATAGTAGGAAGTAGCAAAAACCAACATGTTGGATGACGGTCAGAGCTTCGCATCGTGATCAATTTCCAGCTACCTGTCCACCTTGCCATATCACCACTGTCCAGTCCTGTCCAGTCTTTTTGTGCTAGGCATGTTTACCCACTATCCCTACCATCACATGGGCCATTGTAAGCCGCGCAACTGTTCCTCTTGCCAAAGTCCTCGCATCCACCTTGCTTGTTGCACCAGTACACATTCTGGTCCTTGCCGTTAATGACAGCCCAGTTGTCGATATTGCTAAGGTAGCAGTAGCCGCAGTAAAGACCTGATATTTCAATATGAGCATATGTGCCACGTTTCTCCATCATCATGTTGGTTGGTTGGTCACGAACCTGCGTTCTTCACTTTGTTGCACTTGCACGCCCGCTTGTCGAGACTGACGGGCTCCGCTGCAGCTTCAGCGTTGGCGGAAGCATCACGCACTACATTCTCGACAGCACGTGCTTCGGCAACAGCCTCGGGCTCGGGAAGAGCAAAGGCGGTGCTGGTCAGGAGGAGGGTAGCGAGGATGGCCTTGATGTGAAGCATTTTGAACATGTGCGACAGTTGTTGTGATTGACTTTGCTGTGATATTGCTTATTGAATTGATCACTGAAGATGATGGATGCTGCTTCACCACTGTCCGTCTCCTCTCCAGTTTATATGCTGTTCTCCCCCTTCTCCCCTTGCTCAATTGCTATTATCCGTCACGCCATACCCCTCATTTCTCCCTCCAAATAAAGACCATGATGTTCGCCGGTGAAAGGGGGGGCCTGAAATGTAGACTTTCAGCTCCCAAGACTTCTGTATATGAATACGAGGACTTGGTATATTCACAACGTGGTACGGTAAAGCCACAAAGAACAAAAATGTAAACAAGAATAAGGCCAAGACTGGGGTTCCGCGTCATTCCCCGCATGTTTGCGACGAGCCGAGCCAAACATCGTAGAGAGGTATCATCGGGACGTTGCAAATAGCTTCGGTTTTGGCCCCAGAACTGAGACTAGTCTGTTCCACCAAAACGATGAGCTGAAGGCGTTTGGTAATACAGCCTTACATAACAACCCCGCCGCCAGACACAACAGCCATCACAAAGGCAATATTTGGTGGCTGCTGATACTGGGCATTTTCTACCTTGAGAAGCTGCATAGAGTGTCCAGGTCCATAACAATGTATGCAATATGTTTATTTTCTGCTATGGAGAGTCTAATAATTCTCCCTGCACGCCTAACTCTCAGCCCGTTGCGACGGCCAATAGAACATGTCTCGCATCAACATCAGAGATATTCTACTCGCCAACAATCTGCCCATTCTCCTTGCCTCCCTCAATCTTATCGCCACCCTTGAACTTGAATCTCTTTAGTCCCCTGACACCAACATTGATCTTGAAACAGCTGCCTGCAAACTCATCAACAGGCCCTCCATTCTCTCCACCTGTGCCACCGGCGCTAGTAATAAAAAGCTCTTCTCCAGCAAAGCACGGGCAGGTGGGTTGACTAGTGGGAACCTTGATTTCTGCAACGATCTCACCCTGGGGCGAGATCCGAATGACATGATGCCCACCATGAAGGGCGGTCCACATGTAACCCTCCTCATCAATGCAGTGACCATCTGGCACGGCATCCTCCCCGTAGCGGTTGTCCTCTGGCATGGTAAAGTAAGGGCGCTTGTTGCTGATAGCCCCAGTCTTGGGGTCAAAGTCAAACTGCCAAATCGTCTTTGTCGGACTGTCGGCAAAGTACATGGTATCATCCTTCTTGTTCCATGTCGTGCCATTGGGGATCGTAATGTCACTCATTGGACGGTCGAGGCTCATATCGGGATTCAGACGGAAAACCGCGCCGTCAGTTCGCCACTTCTCAACCATGGGGTCGAACATGAAGCCCACCCAGAACCGTCCCGCGGAATCGACAGCGCCGTCGTTGCCACGGAATTTCTCGTGCTTGTTTTCAGAGATTTCGGCCTCGGACCAGACTTTCTTGACCCAGCGGTATTCGCCCGTTTCCTTGTTGGCAATGCCGTATCCGTATTTGCCGCCGAAGATGAACTCTTTGGGGTTGGCCTCAATGTCTGCCGTGCATCCCATTGATATGTCGTGCTCCTTTACGGTCTTGAGGCTTGATGGCCCTTTGGCCATGTCCACGCGGAATAGCTTTTGTTTCTCAACATCGAGGAAGCGGACCGTGTTGGTGTCCTCTTCCCAGAATGGGCCTTCGCCCAATGAGCAGTGTGTCTTGAGCCATGGCTGAGAGATGGTTAGTAAATGGGTTTTTCTACATAATAATGATGAACTTCGCGCCAACGCGTTGCGTCTAAGGCACGATAAGCCAAGCATAGCCAAATAAGGTCTGTTTGACACTGCTCTGTCGCCCGGATGACCTCAGCGGGGCATCCGAAGTACCCCTCTATACCAGCCCAAATATACGCTAAATGACCACAGATACACATACCTCTGTTATTTCGTACTTTTCAACGTCGGGCATTTTTGCAGAGGAATTGAGTGTCGTCTGAGGTGTAGAAGTGCTACTCTCAGTGTCCTTTTGTTGACGTTGCTGAATGTTGTTCCTTCCCGAGGTGGAGACGGGCCCTGTCAATGCGGCCCTCATCGAGGACCACAATTTGGATAGCGTCGCTCCCATTTTCCGTATGACGTCCCGATGAGCCGCCAATGAGGCTATAGCCCCGTCTCACACGTCTTTTCTCTCGCTGTGGCCTCCCAATTCCACGTGCGCAACCTTGGACGCGTATTGCGGTGGATGGCAACTGCGCCAATCAAAGTCACTCTTGCAACGAGCTAGGATACCTGTTGACGGATGGAGGTACGGAGAAGGAAATTCCATTGCATCACTGAGCCTCCAGATTCATATGTTGCTTCCGTTCCAACATCTCTGCACGGCGGAAAGGGTCGTTGCCGTTTGTGCGGTCCGCCTGGACTGGACGAGTCATTTCCACCTGCTCAACAAATGCGTTACCTGGACGCGCGCTGTCTATAGCTATGCGTCTCAGCGGGAGCGTGCTTGCTCAAGGGGTACACAAGCAGCATAGCGAGCAATATTGTTGGTAAAGGAAACTTGATGAGGCGGTGATAACGACGTTCTGTCGGCTAAGCGGTCCGCCAATGCCTACAAGAGAGAGCACGTTGACTGTTTGCACGGGACCACTGTATCTTTGTTCCGGTTGAACCAGGCTAATCTCGAAATGCAGATACGTTCTTGCCGTGTGCTTATGAGATGACATGCAAGAAGTAATTTGAGTGCTGTAGTATAGATATTGTGATAACGGCCCGTTCCTGGGTAATCTGGCTCTTCATCCAAGTGCAACTAACGTCTTTGTTGTCGCACGGGACGCATTACTCAATATCGCGGCAACAGGTGATCTGGTTTCATCCTGCTTTCAAGTAGTCAACACTCAGTAAGGTATAGGTAGTCAACTTCATCTCACGATACTAGTGCATTGCTATTCTCCATCACTGTGGAAGAAGCCGGCTTTGTACACCCTTCAATACTACATTTGGGCACTACAGAATATTGACACACTCAATCGTCTAGACACGACGATCATTGGCGATAGTTTATTGCTGGAGCTCAATATAATAAAATGTACTGAAAGCGATGATAACCTACACGCACACACGAACAAACTGCTGGGACAGTCACAACAGCATGTCTTGTGGTTCTTTCTAATTTTGCCACTACCAAATAAATACACGATCACTAATAGGAATAGTAAATCTAAACAGGCATGGTGGGAGCGCACATGGTAAGCTTGAGACGGACAGATTGACGACAGTCGCGTATAATCTTCGGCTCTGAAGGCTTGCTCACTTCGTTCGCCGAGCAACACCTAACAACTAGGTAGGCTTGGATACATTGGTATAGGGTTACTTTCTAATCCACAGTCGCGTGATGCATACTATGTTTGTGTCATGGTCACGCTGGGGACTGTTCAATATAATAAAAGTAGATTTCTAACACTGAAGCGGGTTTATCTTTCACAGAAGACACAACTTGTTCCCAAGATAATTAATATGCCCTTTAGCCTCAAGCAATCGCCACCCCCATCTGAGCAACAACAGCCTGAGAACGCCGATAGGAGATGTCCAAAGCACGAATGTCGATGGATCACCCGAGACAAGCGCAATGTCAGGCTTTATGACTGCCAGAACCGTGCAGAGATACCTTGTCCTGCATCGGACTATCCTTGGACTCAGCCCAGCACTGGCCATATCATACCAGCCTTGTCTATGGATAACTGGAAAAAGAGGCAGCAAGATGGTTGGTTTGGGTACCATCAAATGAATCCAACTCACAGACCTCATATAGACCCTCTGCCCTTTACAGAGCGGATTACAGATCGCCCTTTTCTAAAACCATATCCGAGACCCAAGACACCTCCTCGAATGAGACAGCACGTGCGACTCGGCTCGGGCACAGGTATCGAATCAAGTCCAGTTCGACCGCTCCGGGATACCACAGTCCGCAACAATCAATTAAGTGGGTCCTAGAAGGTTCAGATTGGATTGATTGATTACCGCTTTAAGCCTAGTAGTTACCTATAGGAGTTTAAGCCCTACCTAGATAGGTAAGTGGGTCTAGGAGAGTGACCGGATTGAATTGATTGTTGCGGAGTCTACGGGATACAGACCACGACCTTTTAGCAGACGGATCCATCTCCTCCTCTGAAGATGTAGATGAAGTAGTAGAGGAAGACCCTCTCAACAAGGTAAAACTGACTCGTAGGAAGACGCGACAAGGAACATGTTTCGCGGAGGGTGGCGATGATATTGAAGATGCGCAACCAGAGGAACCGGAGGAGAAGCGGATGAGAAGGGAACCAGCCAACGCGGGAGATCTGAAGTATTTCCCAGAGGACTGTTTCCAAGACGGTGATGGGAAGTGGTGGAAGCATGTGTCTGGCGAATAGACATGATATCCGACACTTTCAAGGCTAGATATTACACAGATGATAAGAAAACCACTGGCTTTCGCAGTGTTTACAGCTTTTGTTATAACATCAGAATTTCCTAGGTAATCTCTACGAACATGGTTGCCCCATGGTCTTCTTCAGTGTTGTTCGCTAGCAAACCCACGCACCCTAGATGACGTTTACCGGAAAGTGCAGCCTCCAAACACTACGAAACGACCGCAGTGATAAACCACAAAGGTCGGCTCACCGCTTCTATGAATACATGCCTCAACTAATATTAAACAGAAGCACGAGATTCTGGAAGGAGAGCAGACGATGTTATGTTTTATTGTTACAAGTGACTATTAGTCCTTCACAGAGTCCCTAAATCATATGTCGCGTTATCGCAAAACAGTTACCTTGGTAGTGACAGTTTGCGTATTGTAGACACGATCCCATGTTCCCAGTTTGTATACTCGTACAAAGCCCAAAATATGTACAATGAAAGAGCGTGAGTTGGAAGAGGTGTAGTTCATACGCCAATACATACCGCTTCAGCGAAGGGAGGCTAGTCGTGATAGCGACTTTCCGCAGCTCCAGCTATTTTGTTAACTTTAGATGATCATTTCAACATGTTCACTTCCCCACAGTTTGATCCTTGAGCTCCTTGGTTTTCTCCTTGACCATCTGCGTAACGCCCACTGCCTCATCCGCTGCACCCCTCGCCTTCTTCGCCATCCTCTCCTTCCACGCTTTGTCCTCCTCATCTCGCATCTCCAACTCCCTCAGCCATCTGTCCCTCTTGTCCATGCGGTCCTTCTCCGCAACCTTCTTCTCGTACTCTTTGCGCTTCAAGCGGTCTTTCTGCCAGTACATGTTTCCAGCGACTAATACGGCGATGGTAAAGCCTTGTGCGTAGAGACGGCGACGGAAGTACAAGTTCGTCATTTTATGATCGCCTTTGCGCATGGAGCGGGTTGCGCCGACAATGGCCCAGACGGTGAGGCCGCAGCCGAGGGGTACGAGGGGCTCTTCCCGGAATCGTCGCCATATTTTGTCAATGGTGTTTTCGTTGTAGAAGTCGCTGGGCGGGAAGTTAGTGGAAATGGTCATGTGTAATCGATTGCGTCATGATTGAACATGTGAAAACTTACGCATTTTCGTCAAAAGAGGAAGGGAGAGGTGTGCTGTTTGGACCACCGAAAGACATGGTGGGCGTAGTTATGCGAATGCAGGTGGCGGAGGTGTCGCGCGCGTCGATGGATGCAATTGGAGTGGTTTCAACAGAAATGGAATGGTGCGATAAAGACTAGGTCTGAATTCGCAATACAGGGCTATACAAACTCTCACAAATGATTATTAGAGGGGCGGTTGCTTTCATGAATGGCTTCAAGATGCGGAGCTATATCGATTATCTCACCACTTCGGCCATCGGCCCGTCTTGATGTTCCAGCCCCGATGCGCGCATGCGGACCTACATGACCAGAAGCTTTGCGAAGAACGACAGCCCAGGGCAAGCATCACTATCCGCACCAAACCACGCAGTCGCCTTCAATGAGAGACGAGGCGACAGGCACACTCCCCTCGCTGCGCCATGAACGACGAGGCCGAGTCGTCTCGAGCTCCACAACGCCATGACGATGCTCTACCCGAGCTGGCGGACCTTGAAGATGCGATAGCACGCTTGGAAGAGGAGGAACAGCGCGAAAAGGAAAAACAGGCAAAGCAGGCGAGGTTGGATGCGAAGAGGAAGCGCATACAGATGCTGGGCGAGCTGCTGCGCGACTTGGATATGGTTGTCTACCTGGAACTCATCACTCTCTACCATCTAGAGTACTATGCCCACACCCACCATAGACTTCAGCCAACTGCTAACGCACGCCTACAGCTGCTCCTTCTTCTGGCTCGCATTCAAGGCCTTCATCCACGGAACACTGCTCACCCCTCTCCCGGACACGGCAACCGTCACCCGCCCGCCCGACGAACCAAAGCCCTTCCTCCCGCTACTCCTATTTTCGTTTGGAGTCAATTTCCTCCTGCATCTCACATACCCGGCGCCCTCGGCCGGCGAGGATACCAGAGGCTACTTACACGGTGGCTTGATGATCGACTTTATCGGCCAACAGGGCCCTACCAGCAAGTGGAAGCTTGGCGCGCTCGACATATGCATCCTGGTCCTGCAGCTCGTCATGGTGTCGGTGCATGTCAAGAGGCGGGAGCTGAAGAAGAAGCTGGCGAAACTATCGGCTGGCCTAACGACATCCACCGCCACGTCAGACCCGCCACCAGCAGAAACGGCAACAGCGACCAGCGATAACACAGCGCGGGGCCAGGATGTCGACGACGAGGAGCGAGGCGTGCTACACCGAACTGACACCATGTCAGATATTGGCCTTGATGCCGATGGCGAACAAGATGCGCTGCTGCCGACGTCCGAGTCTGGCCATGTCGACGCCATGGAGGTGCTCAGTTCCGGCCAGTGTGTCATCGGTGACTTCACCCTGTTCGACACCCTCCTCCAGGAAAACAGGAACTACTCGGCTTACAGACTGACGCGGACCGAAAGCGGCATCAATGACATGCCCGAGACGCTGCGGCGACTCAACACTCTGCGCACGCGCTTCGGAGTCGGGGGTGGATGAAGCACAAGCAAGGCGTTATCTTATCGTCGTCGCCTTGCTCCGGTCCACGTGTCGCAGCAAGTCCGCGGTGCTCGCACTCCTGTAACGTTTCTACAGCATGCACCAGTTCCCGAGCGAATGCAGCATGCAGTGGGCGAGGCCCCGGTGTAGCCCACCCAACTCCGGACCGGCTGCCCCCACGCGATTGCGCTATTACACTGCACTCATGCATCCGCTCCTGCAGTTTCTCGCGTCATGGATTGCCGCTTCGAGACCATCGTGACGAAATGGTGCCTGTACAAGTTGCTGCACCCAAAGGTCATCTGAAAATATACCATCAGCTCATGTGCGCCTTCCCCGCTCGGTACAGCCGTGTGGGAAATATCTAACATGGATTTGCGCATGTCGAAACTGCATGGCACACCGATGACGGCTTGGTTCGGCCTGTCAGTCATAACGGCATGCCGTTCGTCAGCCGTCACACCCGCCGTGGGATTCTGTATCTCGCCAATCTCCGCGAGCACGGCAGTGGGGTGACTGTTAGGTATCGACATTTGGTTTCACAGCATATTTAAGCGGTTGTGCCGTCATGCATTTCATGCGAGATCTGTTGGGAGCAGAGTTGCCGCCGTCTGCAAGTCGTATATTGCTTGCGGAGAGTGTGGCTTGAGTAGTCGCCTGGACGCTTTAGCCGCGTGTGGCCGTTGATGGGGACCCGATTTGTTTTCGCAGCTTAATGGCATCCCGATATGTTGATAGAAGACGAGGACTGTTAATAAGATAGACGATTAACACCCAGCTTGGTCGTTGGTGATGTAATCATTCCTTTTTCCAGTATCCACATACGATAGGGGTACAGACTTGAAAAGACAGTTGCGGTTGTGTAACGCAATTTAATCTCCACATGGCAAGCATGGGGGTGAGAGGGATACAAAAAGCAAACATATCCCGCAGACAGGTTTCTAAGAGGACCCTGCATGACCTGATAATGGCTATTCTAGGCCTTTTGCAGCCATGCACGCGAGCCGAATGGTGCGTATCCCCAGTTCCGACTCTGGGAAGACAGTGCCAAGAGCAGGTATATCCTGACCTGTTAATCCCATGATGTGATCCGTGGGGTGAGAAGGGGAGCATGTGCTTGGTTGCGCTCTGCCCCGGCCTCTTGTACGATGAATGTCATTGCAAACAAGCGGCATGTCGTACACGGGAAGTTGGGTTGTTCGGGTAGCAACATGTCCCACGCCGGGAACATGCACAATCCTTCTGCTTCCTTCTCGGCCCCCGAACTTGTTCATGGTCAAAAGTCGTCACGACACTGCCGTCAGCCGGGGTGGGGTACGAACAAACGCCCGGTCAGCGGGCGTAGCGGTTGCGCGGCAGAGCAACGGTTCGGAACGCTCCAACGACGCACCGAAACCTACAATCCTTCTGTTCCCGAGTTACTTACCCCAAAGGCTTGCTTACCACCACACGTACCTGTGCGTGCAAGGGTTGGTCGCGGTCGGGGGATTGGGAAGGGAAGTCAGCCGTGTGACAGGCACCACATGCCCACGACGCCACCATGCAGCGGGCGTGCTTGTCAAAAAAGATGGTGTGGGGAGCTGCGTGATTGGTGGACAACGTTCCGCATTTCCCCAAAAGAGGCACCATAATGGTGGCACGGATTTATCCTCATTGGCTGGCGCTGAGATGCGAGTGAGATGTCATGGACTATGATACGCAGAGAGAAGGGGGGGATGATGGACGGAGGTCCGGGTCAGCCATGTGTGTGATACGCGACCCTGTGCGTGCTCTTGCATAGGGCCGGGGTTTTAACAGGTTGTTTCCCGTTTGATCAAGATCGCCTTGTCGTCACATGATCAGATCTGATATGCGGGTCTTCCGTCATCTTTCTTCTTTGCCGTGGCTAGGGCCCTGTTTTGCGCTGACACGCATGGGTCGAGCGGTGTTGTGCTGCGTGGCGTACATGGTTGGGCTGCCGTATCGACGTCGCCTACGCAAGCACCGGCAGGGATAATGCTGGAGATTGAGTGCAGACGGCCCGGCGTTGTGGTTCGGCGTCTATCAGGGAAAAAAAGGGTGGAGGGTGGCATGTGCGGGTCTTTTGAGTGGTTGGAGACGAAGAAGAGCCTAGTCTGCTTTGCTTAGCAGTCGTGCCCATCCAAGGTCGCTTTCTTCTGTCACTCAAAGTCGGCCTTTGACATTACGGGTTGGAGATGGAGATGCCCCAAATCCACGTCCCTACCCTACCTCCCCAAGTTCTTACGTCTCGAGTCCCTAGGGAGTCCCGCGTGTCGCTTTGATTGATCCGATGCGGGTCCTGACTCTGGTCCTGTTCTGTTCACATGTTGCGACACACCATGTTGCTCTAGGTCGAACCATAGTACAGCACCAAAGTTTGTAGCCTCTTCCAAGGTGGCGTTTCGATACTGAAAGCGCCACTTACCTCGGCCCAAAAACCTCAAAGCAATAGGAGATGCAGCACAGCGCAGCGGCGCCCAAGTCCTTATTGCAGTCAAATGATACTCTCATCTCTCAACACTTCTGTAGTGTAACTCGTGAAGACGCGCAGGCGCTTATGCATGCAATCAAGGGCTTGGGGGAAGGATGCGGGACTCTGCCCCGCCTCACACGTTACTCGACGTATTTTGGGAGAGGGGGGAGCCGAGCACCGGTGGTTCTGTTGTACAAAGACACATGAACTGGATTGAGCCTTTTTCTTTTCTTTTCTTCAAACAAAATGGCGTTTTAAAGTGTAGTGAAGTTCAAATCCAACCATGTAGCTGTGCCTCGACTCGGGCTTGCAGGACTGCAGTGTGACAAGCGTTTCATTTTGTTTTCCTTCGAGCCGTCCCAGCCTCCCCGCTGCATCTAACAAGGCTGCTGAGTCAGGCGCAGATCCGGTGAAGCTGGAGACGTTCTGGTGACTTTGACTATAACGAAACCGAACACTCGTGCAGTAGAGACACACACACACACACACACACACACACACACACACACACACACACACACATCTCGTACAGGGCGGAGAAGCGCGCGTGACAACAAACACAAGTAGAAGAGCACGAAACGGCATCGCCGAAGTACCTTTACACGTTCACGCGCCGCCGATCTAATCAGGCAAGCATGACCTCGATTGCATCGCGTCAGAATAGGAGAGACATGCGGTGTGGACACAGGTACACGTGTTGAGTGTGGGACATCGGTTGGAGATGGTGGGTAGCAAAAAAGTACTCCCGGCAGTAGCCTGGATCCGGCCCATGTACGTACTCTGTCAAAGGACCGGTAATACAAATCAAAAGACATCAGCTGCGAGAAAAGATCCCCACGTCCAGAGGGAAAATGTGGAAGTTTGTCCGCAAGTGGCATGTCCAGGCTGGCAAGCACCACCCCTCGAACAACCCACGAACCACCAACATGACTTGTCGCACCGTTGTTTGTGCTTAGTGAGGCGGGAAAAAAACAAGAAGCGGGCGGCAGTTGGATTACGGGGCACCACACTCTCGCAAAAGGGAGACTCGCACTCGCATCCCGTATTGGAAGACCATCGGCCCGAAGAATAAGAGCAATGCTCGGACCTGTATCAGCGGGTAAGCAGCGACCAAAAAGGCTGAACCAAAGCCGGATCCGCTGCAACACACACTGTCTTACAGCCCTGTCACCCGCTACAAAGGTAAACGGTGAATGAGTGTACGCTGATCTCACACCCTCTCCCGCTTCATTGGGTGGGACTTTGTCCCCGGTCGCAGCATGTCATCAATCAGTGCCAGCATCCATGTACAAAGCGGCTCCACCATGTTCCTGTTTTGTAGCCTACAGTAGGATCGCGGGACAAGCGGCTGGCTCGTGGGAGTGCCAGGTTGTACCCTAGTAGCTTATGCTGCAGCCCTCAGATTGCTCATGTGTGCCATCCTTGTACACGTCGCATTGTTGTCGCGAGTCAGTATTACTCCAAATGCTTGCTGATATGTACCTACAGTACACACTACACCTTCGCCCGCCGTGCCCTTGCCGTCGATTCAAGACAAGTTGGGAGTTGGAGTAGAAGGGCGGTGTAGCTGCTGGATGCGTTTTTCCTCGGGGAAACGGTAGGTCTAAGGTTAGGTCCATGTTTAGGTCCGATGACGAGGGTTGGATCATGGGCATGTCGTGCATCCAGGTAGCGGCACGTCACCTAGCCTCGACCGCCGTATGCTTCGTCATTGGCCCACGACTTGGCGAAAGCGCGCAGGGCTCACAGAAGGCCATTTCTGATGCATGGCACTCTATGGCTAGAGCTTTTGTGGGGAAAACATGTTGTTAATGGGTCATATGTTGCCTTTGCGACATGTTCATGTGATGCGAGCGCCCAGCGCCCAATAATCTGCAGGGCTTTCTGGTTTCAGTTTCAGTCGCAAACCAAGAAATCGACGACAATCAGATAACGCATCCTTATAGGGGGAAAATCTGACATGGCGCATATGCGCAATTTTCACAAAGCAGTGTAGTTGGCAACATGGCGACATGTACGCGTCAGGGCCCAGGGCTCACCTTCTTTTTCCATAAGCGGGCAACGCTGCCTAGTCGCAAGTGCCACGAGGGTTGAAAACATCATGGCGGCATTTCCTATCCGGTCATCATCGCAATAGTTTCCTTGATATGTTCTCCATCTGTCCTGCGTAATCTAAAGAGCATTAGAAGCTGGCTAGGTTGCCGTATCTCGGTCCATTGATAGCTGAACTCAAAAGTCAAATTCGGACAAGCAATCCGGAGTTGACCGCTAGACTGTGCACCCTGGGACGGTACGGTCGACGTTGGCATTCGGGCCGTTTAGGGCAGAGGTCGAGCTACTGGAGCACGCTACACCCTGAAGTCGTCAATCGGAGGATTTCCAAGACTCGCCGATCTCTTGGTGATCATCCATAGAAACCTCTGACAAGCTTTCCAGATGGCAACATAGACTTTTGCACACTTGAGTCGTGGCAGCGGGCAGCAGGCTTTGTTTGGCACAGAGAGCTGGTCAGCGCTCGAGTAAGTAAGCCACGGTAATATACATGTGCTATCATCACGCACATAAAGTTCCGGCCTGGGCCATCCAATACGCCGAGTAGCCATGGTTGCGTGTCGAACGGACCGCGCCGGAACCAGCTCCGACGGTCGATATGCGGAGCACGTATCTCCATTCTAGCCGGCCATCGTCCTTGGCTCCTTTCCAGTGCCACGGTCTGGAGGCTACCAACCAGCCTGGTGGAATTTTACGTGTGCTCCAAGGCGTTAGCACAAGATCTCGTATGCAAGAGATTCGTGTCAAAGATGTCTATATGCAAAGGGGTAATGGTCGCAGCCGTGACTCAGCCCTTGGTAGCGCGGCAAACCCGCTGATGCTTTTTCGTGATGCATGAGCGTTGCTGGGAGCTTGTCGGCGGGACGGCAATCCTTTGGGAAAGGACAGTATGTATGTATGGTTCGGGTCGGCACTTGCCCTCGCGCACTGCGATGAGACGACATGCTAGTCGATACTGCAAACTCCAACTGCCATGGCGGCGCCCGACGCTTTTCCATAGCGCCCAAACTTTCCCTAGCTAGATTCCCCCTTAGCCGCCAAGTGCCGATGCAGAGATTTCAAGTCGCATGATGTGCTGCCGCGAGTGTAAAAGCCGTTGGTGGTGCAAAGGCAGTTAGCAGCCAACCGCAACCGCTGGCTAGCATCCCGACTGGCCTTTGGCCTGATTCGTCAGGTTTATTTCCCGATACGGATCATAAGGTTCTGGGTAGTCGCTGCCAGCCTGTCTAGCTTCACAGTCCGTTTCCACGCGTCACGAAATTCAATTTCGAATATTGCGAATTTCCAAGGTACGCAAGGGCCGGATTGGGTCCAAGTAAGCAGGTATTTCCGTCCATAGGGCATAGTGAAGAAGATTAGAGTTTGGAGCTGCCGACGTATTCGCTTATGGCAAAGCGCCGTCCAAGATAGGTTCACCAGACATCATCTGATACAGAAACAAGCAGGGCTTGTACAACGGTCATCCATGAACGAACGATGTAGGATTCTGGTGATCGACATATTTGATCGTGTCGCAACGTGGGAACCATGCTCTGCTGCAAAATTTTAGTTACATCCGCTTCGGGAAGGACGTGCGAACCTTGATGCATTAACGGACATGGACGGGTAATACCAAGGCAGTTTGAAAGTGGAGCTTCTCATTTTTGACCATAATGAAGATGACGAAAGCGCCCGTGAGGGCTTGTTACTCTAGATGCAGTTTATATCTTGTTGAATCGAACGGAAAATGGTTACATAGATGAAGAGCCATTGGGTATAACGCAGAACTAAGCTTGCAAAACTGTAAAAGCTTGAAACAACCATCCCTGCAGATATGTGACATCCGTCATGGATGCATGCTTTGTGATGTATGTAGTAAAGAGAGTGAGATAGAGCTGAAGCAGCAGGCTGTGACGATGCCAAATTAGTGTCTTCGGCCTGCGTTCTGCTCTGGAGCCCAGTTCCGGTGCTCGTAGCGACCGGCTTCTGGGACAAAAGGATCGCGATAAGCGGGTCGTTCTGGCGTAGGCTGTTGAAGACCCGAGGACTGATCCCGTTGATGTTGCAGGCTCTGACGAGGCTGGGAAGTGTTTTGTCCTGGCTGGTGATTCACTGGTGGGAAAGTAGGTACAGGATAACCGTGTGCGTCATGGCTAGGTGTGGATGTATCGGTCTGATGAGGTCCAGCTGCTGGATGGTAGCTACTGGTCCTCCTTCGGACATTACGCTCCTCCTCGCGGTTATCATCCTCGTAATCATCATAGGAGGCTTCCGATCCATGGCCAGTGGTAGACGATGGTGCGCGTGATGGTGCTACTGAGAGGCGCCTCAAGCGAGGAGACGGTGGCCGGGCGTAGTGCCTTTCGGGATGCTCTTGCATTGCGATAGATCGCCAGTAGTCTCTTTCGCTTCGATAGTACTCGGCATCCTCGGTCGAATCGCGGACATTTTGTTCCAGTCTAGAAATGCTCATCGAAGCCTCCCGTTCCTTCTCCTTGCGCCGAGCGCGGAACCGTGCAGATGCACCAGCGTTGCGCCTCCTTTTCTCATCGGCACCCTTAGACGCCGTCTGTGTCTCGACGGGTATCTGACGAGGGGGTCCGTTGTGGCTCTTGATAGTCATGAGCTGGATGCTGCTTTGAGCCGAAGGAGCCATGGCGATCATGCTGTTGCGTTCGCTATCCATAGAAACAGACCCCTGGTGTGAATCGTGTGTTGAAGTAGGCACAGGTCCAGGCCCGTAATGTCCTTGGTTGCTGTGGTTATCGTACTGACTCGATGCCACGGAAGCTGGCTGGCTATATGGGGAGTACTGTGTAATCGGGCTAGCACTACCCGATTGCTGAAAGTTCACACTAGGCCGGCGCATGTCGGTGCGGATCATGTTCGGCGGAGGAGTCGGGGCTGTAGGTGGGAAGTAGTGCATTCGGCCTCCTGCTGGGGGAGTAGGTAGCGCCGGCTGTGATGCCATGGTTTCAGACGGGCGTGTACTCGCGGTCAAGAAGGGCGACTGGTGGGCATCGATAGTGCCTGTTGGAGGGTTTAGTCTGCCCAGACTATGAGTCCGGAGGCCCTTTTCAGACCCCATTGGACGCATTGGTGGCCTTCCGGGGGGCTGGAAGAGCCTGGGAGGGTTTTGCTCGCCTCGTGTTGACTGGGTTGAGTCGACGCTGTTTGGTCGACTGATGGAAGGCAGACTCTGTGAGTGGTGCGTTTCCACTGGAGAAGGAGAATCCATTTGGGACACACTGCGCCTTTGAGCTCGCTGCTGTTCGATTAGGTCGGCCTGGGGGTTGAGCATGGAGTGAACTCCAAAAGAGTTTCCGTGTCTTTGATTAGAGGGAGTGGGCGGCGTCCGAGAAAGCTGGCGGAGAGGCGGCAGCGAAAGGGGCGGGTTTGCTGGTCCTTCACGCGGACTCCGATACGGCGGCTGCATCGGAGGATAGGATTGAACTGGCGACATCTGAGGAGTTGTTTGCTCTGAGCGAGATCCTCCTGTCGGGTTGTTCAACATGGAAAAGGCAGCGTCAGAGCCCCCTTGGCCGCCCTGACCCGACCATTGGGGGTCTGACTTTGGGTCGTTGTTGTATGGAGGAGTCAACGACTGCTCAAAGCGACGGGGGAAATGGTTATGGGGGGCTTGGAGAGCGGGGAGAGTTTGAGTAGCCAGTGTGACTAGATTGGTTGGGTCGCCCGGAAGACAACCCAAGACTCTTAACTTGAGGAAGAAGAAGAGTGTCCAGGGGTTTAGGTGGAGGAGGTGGAAACAAAGTGTCTGGACGGCAGTTGCAACGGGAGTACCGTACAAAGATGAGGCGATTGCAAGTTTCCTAGTAGGGCAGTGGTGGTGGTGTGGGGCTAACGGCCATGCTCTACAGGCAGTAAGCGACCAAGGCTGCTGGAACAGGAAGCAAGAGCAAGTATAAAGGTCGAGGAATGAAGCTGCGGCGTAATGTCCTGGGAACTGGGAACTGGTGGAGGGTATGGAAATTCGAGAGTTCAGTCACCGCAATCGGCAGTGAGCGCGCCTGGACCGGGTATGTTATAAGAATGTGCGGTGTAATAGTCGGAGGATCGCTAGCCAAGCAGCAACACATCGAGGGTGCATATGTGCCCCTGTCGCGCCTGGTCCATGTTGCGCGAGAAAGGGCAGCGAGTACGTGATGCCTTGTCGGCGGCTTCGACACTCGCGCTAGGCGGTGCGCACTGGGCTGCCAGGATACGCTGGCAAGCAATGCACGCACGGCTTGCGCGCTACTGCACTGTCGACAGTGATGATGCGCGGAAGCGGAAGAGGGCTGGCTTGTACTTACTTTGACCATGTCCCCCACCGCAACAGCGCGCACCTAGCGGCCCACCAGCGACGTCGAGGGCACCCAAGACCCCAAAGGCGACAAGCCTATGCAAGTGCAGCTGGCGGCCGCGCCCTGCAGCGCCAACAGCTAGTTAGTAGCCATCAGCCAGCACTGACGTGCGGGAGACAGTCCGGACATGTCATCGCATCTGCAGCTCGCCGGCCCTCGTTGACTGGCGAACGCGAGCCGTGCGTGGCAGCGGGCTCGCATACCTGTCCTCGACCGCTCTGACTGTTAGGGCCGGTGAAGACAGCGGTAGCGGGCGGGGCAAGCCAGAGTGTGATGCGCACGACCATGTCTCATCATGTGCCCCAGCCCGAACCCCCCCTGGCCTGCCGCTTGCTCAGTGCTGAGTGCTGAGTGCTGAGTGCTGAGCGATGCAGATGAATTGTGCACCTCATTTTTGCTCGGTGCAGCCCGTCATTGGTGCCGCCCGCGCATTTAAAATCCCCGAGCCATTGCGACCTGTGCCTCGCCCGCCGCCGCACTGCACAAAATCTGAGCCACGACTGCTGACTGCGCACTGGGAGCCGCCATACGGTACAGTGCAGCGATCGCCAATACCCACCATACTTATGGTCAAGTCCATCGATAGGAGGACCAGACGACCAGTGCAAGTCGTTGCGAGTCGTGGCATCGTGTGTCGTGGCGTCGCCTGTCGCGTCCCATATCCTTTCCTTCTTGTACTTTCTACATCTCATGTCCATTCCCACCCACCTTGGTCCCATCACTAATGTCTCGGGACCGAACGCCGCGCCAACGCCTCGTCTCGCTGCGAAATTACTGTCTTTGCGCCACACAGCCATCGCTCCCGCCCCCAAAACGTGCTGGTTGAGAACGTGCTCCGGTGTGGAGGGGTTGCAGCACTATGTAATGTGGGGGTAAAACTACCCGAGTCGACATAGCCATGTACCCACGCCCACCTACAAATCATGCGTCACAAACTCGATGGAATCAATAACATCTTGCCCTGCTCTTACTCCCGGTGTGATAGTAACGGCATCTCATCATGAGCATGACGGTCCCCCGCATCTCGTGGGGGTGCCGGTATGCGGAGCACCTGTCCATGCAGCACGACGGTTTGTGCCAGTGCCAGGAAAGACTGGCGTCGGCATGCTATGGGCTATTTGCAACCCTCTCAGGAGACAATGCGCCGTTTGCCTTTCTGCTCAGCCGGTTGGGCCTCAACCCAGAGCCCCTGGCTCCAGGGTATGCCCCATCACATGTCCGCCTTGTGTGTATGTAGTTTCGCATGCAACGTCGGGTACAACAGGGCAGCGCGGCCTGGCTCGAGCTACTGTACACTGCACTCCGTCTCTGGCGTCAACCCATGTGTGCTTTTTGCGAACCCTCCCATGGCTTATCGCAGCCGCAGATGCGGTAGCGGTCTGCATCAAGGATCAGATGCAAGATCCACATCGCAAATCCTGTTCTTGGGTCATGTTGCGAGACTGGAGAAAGACGTGTGCGGTTCCGTACTTGCACCCTGGTAACTAAACAGACAAAGTCTGAAAGACCACATGGTATGCCGTCTAGTGTCGCGCCGACTTTCAGATACGCCACAAGTAGCGATAGTTGGGGTAGCATGCTTCTGGACGCAAGCTGAACACCCTCAAGAACGCCATGGCCAGGGATACATGCCGAAAGTGTCGTAGCACGCAACCAGCACCGTGGTCAGCACGGCGCCATCGATGCAACTCAGCCATCGGTTGGCCCATCCAACCCACTGAATTCCCGGCTCCAGACAGTCGGTTGCGCAGCCAAGGTCATAGTTCAGGGGACGGTGCTCTGAGATATGAGCATGTCACGTCAGAGGTGACGAACTAATTACGCTGTATATAGCCGCGTGAAGCGTCTGTGGTCAAACTTGCCGGAACAGATAACCATCTCCCATCCAGAGGGCAAGTCCAGACGACATGAAATGAAATAAGCGCATGACTCGCGGGCCTTGGAGTGCGGTAGTAACATTACTTCGCAATTCGGGGTTCCGTATGTTTTGCATTTCTGCCTTCTCCAACAGACGTCGGCTTACCACCAGCTTGGTGGCATTCAACGGGGCATGCGGAGTACCTAACCTGTGGCGCACGTTATGTAGCATATGTACGTACATACAATTGTAGCTGCTTTTCTGGCAATGAAACCTTCGGTACTTAGCCGATATTCGGCGACGCTCCATCCAGTCAGGCATCCGGCCAATGTCAAAATCTTAAGCACTCGCTTCCGCGTAGATGATGAAAACGAGTGATACGAACACGTAGGCGGTGATGCACCAGAGAAGGGACATGGAAAAGAAGCCGTGATCCGAGCTTGCGCACGGGTTCTGCCCGGCATCCCGATCCTTCCAACGCCTGCTGGCGCAACGCTGGAAGCTTGTTCAGAGCTTCATTTACGAGAGAATATGTCGATAGATTGTATGCCGACATATCCCTTGGCTGCTGCACGTACTCATAGTTACTGCACAGACAGAAGAAAATACATTCGGTAATTGCCGATGCTCGCATGTTCAAAATTCTTTCTTGTGTTGGCTTACATCACGTGTTTCTTTTACGTGCAGTCCCATCCACCTCGAGGGCTGGATTCCCGTTGCACGCGTTGCCAGGTGGACCATGAAGGTCGCTTCCTACGTACGTATTGAGTAGCGCAAGGTTGGAGTGGACATCGGCTCAGATCGCCGACGATCAGAAAACGTCCATAACGTCAGCCCGTGGCGTGCTGCATTCGCCATTGCAATGGGCGAGAACATTTGCCCCGAAAGTAAGCAGATCAAGAGGGTCACCCTGGTATGGTTACTAGTATGCCTTCAATCTTGGTCTAAAGCCCAAAAATCATCCCACATCTGTATATCTGACAAGGTACGATTATCACATTATGCACCGCACTATATTGGTCGTGTTTCTGCACAACCTCGGCAAATGGGAGAAAGAACATGAACCTCGCTTGGACTCAACATCATTCTTCGCATCTTGAAACTCAGTTAGACGTCTCCACCGCCCTTTTGCATTGCTGACCGAAGACGCTGTGCGTATATCCGTACACCACAACTTTTCCCGCCAAATCATCCGCGGCCGGGCATGGTCAGCGTAACACTTACAGGTATTCTCTTACAACATATGTTGCACGGGTATACTTTGTTCAGCAGGGAGTTCCACGTGCGTATTCGGATCTCCGAGCGTCATCTATCTGTTACTTGACTCTGACTATATCCACTGTTGTATGATCAGAAGCGGCAGATGGCGTTGCCTACCCCTGCCATGCACAACATATGGCGGAGTCAAATACCTTCACATGTCATCTGCTCATCAGCAGTCCTTGGCTACTCCAAGCATAAGGGGTAATATTCCCTAAGCCCTATACATCCGTCTTCCTCCGTTTCCGTTCCTGTTCGGGTGTGGAGGTCCTGAATGGGACCGAGACTAGGGTCGGATCTCTACCGTACGGCCAATACCAAACATACTACTCGCCGTTTGCCCGTTGCTAGTAGGCAACGTCGCTGCAAGTATACCCCAAAGCAGTATCCACCGTGCTCGCTGGTTGCTTGATAGGAAGCCCAAAGCGCTGCATGCCCTGCTGATCTACTTGCTTCGTCGCCCATGCAAACTTTACTTCAAGCTGACGGCGTTAATCCGATAGGATATCGCATAACATGCCTGTCCACATATACTTCCCGGCCATAGCTCTAAAAATCTGTGATACGCCCTACCCGATCGGGCCGCAAATGCAGATTGCTTGATCTACAGAGCACTACCATGTTCACATACAGATGATGTGATCTCCAAGACCCGGCTACCCCAGTCTGACTTTTACTGGGCCAGTCAGCATCTTCCCTCACCCTTGGACAAGCAAACATAGCTTACCCATGTCTACAGACGCAACGCAGCACACCATGTCAAGGAAGCGATAGAAAATCATCTGTGCCAAACTTTCCTCCAACAATTACCCGGTAAGATACTGTAACTACTTCATACTCAACCTTACTAATACTATTTGGTATATAGTACGCAGGTTTGTAACCTAACTCACCTATTACCTCTTATTACACTTCATTTGTCTCAGCACTCCACTAAGAAATGTCACATTGGCTGTTATTGTGAGGGGTGTCTAACCACTCCCACTTGTCTCCTGGTCACAAGACCTAGCCAAGGGCGGAGGATTAGGGAAGAATGACTTTGGATACACCGATTCGCTTGCACGGTGATATTTACGTGTTCTAGGAACCGAGAAGTTTATGATTCATTAAGTACGGTCGATTGACTAGGAATGACTTCTTAACCCTTTGACATGTTCCGATTAAGTTTCCGCTCTGGCAAGTACGGCCCATCGTAATTTCATGCAGGTGTAAAGTCTCCGACAAATTAAGAACATCGGACTGCTCACTACCAGCTATTTTTATTTTGATTCTCGGACGTCAGAAATTGTACTTATCGAAAAGGGCAGCACAAGTAACTGCGACGGCGCAATTAATTGATAATTTTGAGTTGGTACTTGCATGAAATTGGTAAGATTGTATTGTCAGCCTCAAGACCATGCCTCCATCATCTAGTCTGTCTCCCAAGTCCTAGAGTTCCAATCCACAACCCCCTGTTGCCCAGAAACTGCGCGCGGAGCATGTACTTGTCCCCCATCTAGCTGACGCACTTGTATCTCCCTTGTCCACTGTGACAAGTTCCGCCGTTTGGTTCAGGATCGTAGGCGTTCGCATACTGAGTGACAAAGTACGAGTGATGAATACAAATATCCACCTCAGCTATCTTGCACTGTCGGTCGTCAGTTGTATCGATGCAGACAAGCTTTCCGTGGTACTCACGCAAGCAGGCGAACCTCCGTTGAGACAATTAGGGTGTGCGGCTCCGGGGGAACCCTCGAGAGGGCCACAGCAGTGAGCTGCCAGGGCTATTGGCATTAGGAGAGCCAAAACGGCAGAGGCGGTGAGATATTCTGTCCGGCAGAGAGGATAGATCAGTATAGCACTCGATGAGCGTTTGTGTTTTCTTGTTAATGCGTATTCATGGTTGTCGTTTTCTTCGTTGATGTTTGTCAGTTCGAAATCAGTTCGGGCTGGAACAGTTTGTCGAGATCACTGCTTGCAAAAGAGTCTTGAGTCTCAAGTAGCTTGCTGTTTGTTCGAGGAGAATACAAGAGGTCTTTTAAATATTCTTCTGGAAGCTCGCAAACATGGGATTCCACTTGGTAGCTAGGAACAACGGCTTGTAACGGATCCAGTGTGTGGATGCTTGTGGAAGCCAGTGGTACGTACAGCAGTACATTTTGAATTCCATATCCCACAAATTCACACGTAACCGGAACAAAGACATAATTCGAGCGATTCGTGGAAGTTTGTTAGAGACGTAGCCACGTGTTTCCGAAGAAAAGGACAGCTCTTTCCAGTGATTGTATGCTAAGTGCGCAAATGATGCTGTCATCACAACTCATAGGTATATATTTCTTCTACTCTATGTTGGCGTTGGTCAACACCAAAATACTCTTTTTCCAGATTGGTACGTGGAACTGTACGTCAGCTTGAAGGCTCTACCCTATGGTGGTGTACATCTCATGATGTACATGACGCGGAAAATAAACAGGATAAGCCCTAGAGAGAAGCACGGGCTCTTCTGATCAAACAGATGAAGGTCGTTTATTAATAGCAGTCTGGGGATATTAACTTTGAAAGAGCTTGGCAGAGCTTCGGTCAAAATCATGTTATCAATGGTTCTTCAATTTAGTACGCCAAAGGATGATTAGGACGTACAACGGTTCATCTGTTCGCTTTGACATGTAGCTCAACAGTAATGTTAGGTCGTGATAGGGTTTACTCGCCGACACATCTATCTACACTGCAAAGTGATAGATCTACGCTAGCAGATCATCACGCAAATCTGACGCACCAAGACATTGCTCATGTGAAATTCCGCCGAATAGCCGTGTTAGGGCCGACCATCTGGGAAGATCCATAATGGCCCTTGTAGATTGACGATCAAGTTCGGCGGCGGTCAATGTTCGGCTGTACCGGTATTCCAGCACAGTCAGCAACGCAACTCATTGCTGCATGGGCAGAAACACCAAGGTGCAAACTTTTCTCCAGTTTCTGACCAAGCAGGCTAACATGATGCCGGCAATGTCTCCCATAATGTCCACCGCTTTAGCGTCATCCCTTATTTCTCCTTGCAAATGGCAAAATCTAGTGGAGACAATGGTGCCCACCTCGCAAAAGCTGCCAATATCCACTGGTCTAGAATCAATACAATGAAACGCTTTGTTCCATCGCTTAATCTTCATCGTCGATTATGTGTCGGTGAGTGCAAGACTCGTACTCGCAAAAGGGCTGCAGCACCCGATGTTCCGTTGTATTTTAGGCCTAACGAAAGGGCTCTTGACACCTGTAACAGTAGGTGCATCTCGTCTCGCCCAATACTCCCCAACGCCTTGTTTACCTTTAAGGGATAGACTTTCCAAGAAGATGGATGTCCCGATTAAGTTAGTCCCTGCTCGCTATTTGGACATCAGAGCAAAGGAACCGTAGGCAACCGCTATCCCCCTTTGAAGTTCTACATGAAGCTAAGCACTTCATCGCAACACTATGGTGTACGAAGATGTGTGTCTTCGAATTTAGAAACTATCTGACTGACTATCTAGGTATCTTTGGGTTAGGATCAGACCGCCGCGTAGGACACGGTACCCGAGGCAATCCAACGAACATCCACCACGTTTACCAACAGGATCGTGGAAGGCTCATCACGTTCTCATACTGTCTCTACTCGATTCACACTCTAAATCCTTCAAAATCATAGGGGGACCAGTAACTTTGCGCTCAGGATACTGACAGGCTAAATCACGTTACTCACATCCTTCCCGTAGATCCCTACCCCTCGCTGACTACACCCATGCCAACAACCCAGAGTCAGTGTCTCACGATGGTCTGATTTCATCGCTTCCCCATCATATGAGAGTGTATTTCCCATGTCATTTAATCATCCTGTTTTCCTAACCACCGAAATCTTCCAGAAGGATTGGCTGGCCCAAACACGCGAACCGCGCCTCTTATGCAAGGAGAGGTGCACTGCTGCCCAAGTACCGGCCCACAGTGATCTCAGCCCTTTAGAAGGGCTGACAAAAGTGCCGAGGTTTGATTAGACGCGCGTTTCACACTTGACTTCTTCCCGTAGTTCTTCCCCCTTCTTCCAAGGTTCTTCTTCCTTCGAAGCCACAGCTGTGGGGATGATTACCGAGTGGGGCGAGTTGGATGCTGTCGCGTTGCTCGCGTGTCGCGTCTTTCAAGCTGCGAAGACGTACTTTTTGCGGTAATGCCCAGTCGCCTACCCTGGAAGCATGGGCCCAACCCAAAGTCACATTGAACGGGAGGGCGAAACTCGGGAATGATCAACCCCCGACATGTTGTATCTCGGGGTTGCGAGTGACTTTTGGTCCCCTGATCCCATCTGTTCAGAGTGAAAGGTGCGGCGTAGTGCCTGGAAACTTAGTTTCGCGGATGTATCTATCCGACGTAGCATTGCATGGTCTATATGCAGTGTGTTGGCACGTCGATTCCTTGAAGAATTTGTGTTTTCATCAGTGGGTCTTACTACAATGTTGGTTGATCGATCGTGAAGTATGCCACTGAGGACAAAGATTACCACAATATCCTTTGCGAATGAGAACTGTATGGAAAAGGCGAAAAATCGCAGCTTTGCCCGATGCCTCCAACCTATGGGTTGACAACGACAACCTTGTGTTAATTATGTAATTATACATCGATTGGGTCTCGACTTTGGTTCTCGACAGAACCATAATATCGCTACCAAGGCTCAGTCTCAACGGTGCATCCATGGAACCATCACTAACTCCGATATATCATTGATATTGTTGCGTGATAATTTCGACCAAGTAGATATGAGTGCTCGATACAGTCGTCAGCCAGGGCCATTATCTTACTGACCTTGATATTACACTTACCACAAAGCTCTCGCCAGGACAGACAAGGGATTTCTTCCACAACGGCGACCACGCTACGATGCTGCGAGAAGTGCGATACGCCCCGAACATTTCTACAATTCGTGGAAAACCACACTGTACCCAAAGTGAACACTCTCAAAGAAGAAGGCGAGGATATGTGCGTCATCTGCCACTTACCATACGGTAGTGAGAACATCCCACTACGAATACTTGACATCCCCGTAGAGGTAACCAACCTCCCAGGATGTAATCACATTTTCGGAGCTGCATGTATTGTATGGCTCGGTTATGGCACCATCGCAGCACTCCATCAGAGTTGCCCGCTCTGCGGAACAGAATGGTGGCGAGAAAAAGACCCAACAGCTCCCGACGCCGACGAGCAAACCAAACAAAAGAAGTCTGAGGATCTTGCCAAGTGCTGGGAAACAGACTACAACACAGCTCGGTACCATATGTACCGGGAGCAAGAATACAGTGACAAGTACCCACCGCTTGGACGCGTGGAGCTACTCAGACGTTCTCTGTGCACCATGCGCTTTTAAAGGCGCTAAAGACCGAGAAAATGCAACGGCGTTTCCGCAAATTACAAGAGAAGCACGAACTCACCATCGCAGAGCCTGCAGATGATCCGTTCGAGGTGGCATTTAAGTGTCTGATGTACGATCCGTTTACCATTAACAGCTACTGCTTGTCGGAACAGGGTCTGGTGGCCGTCATGTACAGGACGCTGGATTCGATGCGAGGTCATCGGCTTTGGCAGATGTACCATGATATGGTGCGTAGTACGCAGGATGGCCATGGACAATCTTCCTTGATGTTGTTGAGAGGGCCTGGATAGATATTTTTCCAGGAGACCAGGTAGATTGGGTTCAGTTCTTGTTACAGGCGTTGGAGGTGGCATATCCTGTCGATGGGGCCAAGACACAGAGATAGATGTACGAGGATGATTTGGAAGACTTATGGGATTGAGATCACACGGCGGAGGAACATTAGTGTCGGGATATTGCGTGGCGTTATATCATAGTTAGATTAGCAAATGAAAAAACATTATGTCTTAGAATGTAGATGCATAGCGCCATCAGAATGAGTAAGACGTTGGTGTATGTTGGTGAAAGCGCGGCCATGACATCGGCGTTCTTATGTTAGAAAATGCCGACCATGTCTTGGCAAAGGACACGCTTACGTCTGTCTCTGAGCACCATATCATTGCCAGCTCCGCCGTTCACTCTATTCAAATCAGTACACCATGAGGGTCGTTCATAGCTTTGTATCTTCGCTTCTGCTCTCCAGCGCAGCAATTGTGTCTGCAGCTTCTTCCTGGAGTTTCGAAGATGCCACTGTGTCGGTATCGACTAAAGGTGCTGGTGTAGGCGGAGCTGCAAAGGACAAGTGAGCTCACCTTTTCTTATTGTATACAGTCGATCACAAAGCTAACATATGTCTAGATTGAGCCCTTCCACACCGCTCGGCAAGTCTGTATCTCTGGGCGCATCGGATACATTGAAGCTTATCCTCACGACTGTTGAGGGAAGCACTGCGAAACGACCTCACCAGGCGTTCCTCACCCTGACCGATCCTACAACCGGCGTGGAAGAGTCTTTTGTACTCAGTGTAAAGGACAGCGGAAAGGGCAAGGTCGATTTGGTACGTGAAACATCTCAATGGCTACCAGACAACAACTAAACATTCCATAGTCTCATAAGGACCTACCCCACCAATTCTTGACCTCGGAGAAGCCAATTGCAGCGTCTATCGTAATCGGATCTTTCGGTTCCTCAAAACCCTACAAGGGCAAGGTGTTTGACCTTACCGTCACCCGCGACGCCAGCACTCCCCTCAAGATCCCCGAGAAGCCGGTCCGCTACGCCGCCGAATCCGAAATTCATCACATTTTCCGCGAGGACCCCAAGTCACCACCCAAGATCATAACCATTGTGTTCGCGGCCGCTGTTGCTGGTGCACTACCTGTGCTGCTTGGTGCGTGGGCTATGTTGGGCGCAAATACTAGCCACTTGAGCAAGGCGCTGGGCAATGCGCCTGTGTCGCATGGGCTCTTCTATGGCTCCATACTGGCTATGGAGGGTATCTTCTTCATGTACTACACAAGCTGGAACCTCTTCCAGACCCTGCCAGCAGCCGCGGTGGTCAGCTTCGTTGCTTTCTTGAGTGGCAGCAGAGCGTTGTCTGAGGTTCAGGAGCGTCGCTTGGCTGGATTGAGATGAAAAATGATTTGAGCTGGACAATACCATCTTGAAACCATGTGATGCCAGGCATATGGGATGAGCATACGTGAGGGGAAAAAAGAAGAGTATCTCGCGAGGATGTATGAATAGTAGGCGATGGCGGAGGATGCCTCGGTAGAGCAGACTTCAAAAGGCGACAATGTACGCCATAATTCTAGCGAATTTACTAAGTTTATGCAGTGCAATCAAATTTGTCTGTCTTTCTATTTTTGGTCTAATAATCCGACAGTGCACCCGGGTGACATGAAATACTTAACATACTAATGCACAAAGGTCACTGTATGCGCTACACACATATGTGAGGTGCCTACTCACAATCTAAGTATTTTGTGTCACCCAGGTGAGTGTTTCCTGGTATCTGCTTCCGTTCAAGGACCAGTGATTGTCCCATGTATCTCATCACTGTCATAGTGTCATCTTCAACACCCCTTCGACGTTCTCTCCTCCCACTATGCCCTCCTCTACCATTTGTTCCAAAACCTTGGCCACATTCGTACTCCTTCCCTTCCAGTTGTCCTTGATTTCTGTCGAACCACTCGCCACCTCCTTCAGAATATCAGCCACAATCGCCTTGGCGTCAGCAGTACCTCGTACTTGAGCGCGATCAGCTCGTTCAGCATAGCTTCTTGCTCCACGGTAAAAGACACCCGCGTTCGCAACTAGAGTTGGAGCACTTTTCCGCCAGGCCGGCTTTACATCTTCGAAGAGCGCGATGCGGAAGCGGAAAAGATCGGCATCACCTCGTCCAATGAAGACATCTGCTAGATTGGACGGTGGCATAATGGATGTATATGGCGCAGATGACAATCGTGTGAACATGGTTTGGACTTGTGTGAGAGCAGTCCATTGGATGTCAACATCAGTAGCGAACGTTGGGGATGTGGTAGTGTATTGGCCGCCGTCCGCAAGTGAGGATGCCAGGTCCATGAGGACATCACCATATGCCGAGATAGTGTGCACAGCTGAGAGATCGGGGCTTGTCGTTGTCGTTGCGCCTTCGATCAGGCTACCGAAAGTTTCGTCGACAGCTTTGGCGTACTCGGTCGATGTTGTTCTACCACAACGGTATTGGGCATCTGCTACGCTAGCTTTGAAGACGGCAGTTACAATGATGGCATCTTCTTTGGGTGTTGTAGTAGCTTCTTCCGCTGTAGATAAAGAGCCTATTGATAATGTCGGACCAGCTTTCGGCTCATCCACCTCTTTTTTTGGCGGCGACTTGTCGATTAGTGCGATCAGAGTGGGAATCCTGTTCGTAGCTGTATCCATGCCATCGTGTACTCTCTTCTCTATGTTGGGAAGATCCGCAGCGGGATCATACAGCCCAAGTAGTGTTGTCAAAGCCGTGAGCTGCACTGTGCAAGTATCGAGTATGTCTTCTGGTGTCAATGGCTCTTCCACAGTAGCCCAATCACCGGGTGCTTCCGAGGTTCCGGAATCTGTCTCCATATCCTCGTCCTGCGTTTCAGCCGGCTGCTGGTGCTCGCTTTCCCAGGCCTCCCGATACTCACCCGAAGCTTCAGCTTTCGTAATTTCTGCCTGTATCTGTGAATGTTGTTGCTGTTGGCTTTCCAAACATGTCTTGAGGATCTCGACAGCCTCCTCAAGTAATGGAATAGCGTCTTTCTTCGTAGCTACTTGAGTGCCCGATTCTAGGCCGGTATCCGCCAACGATACAAGGACTTGAGCAGTGTTGAAGAGAATGTCGATGTTTGTTGGATTTAGCGAGCTGGCGAAGCGGTGCGAAATCAACGTTTCTTGTAGTAATAATGCCTTGTTACCGAGATGAGAGATCATACGCTCATCTTCTGTGAGGACAAGTTGGAGGTGGGCCCTGTTCGCTGTTAGTATTTACCGTGCGAACAGTTTGAGAGGTCCCTCTGCTGACTTATTATAAGCTAGGTCAAACGACTGAGGATATCGCTTTAGCCCTTCGTTGTATGCCTCAATTGCTCGGTTGAAGAAGCGGACAGCTTTTACTGCATCGCCCGCGCGCCATTTTCCTGCTGCTTGTTCAAACTCGTCTGCGGCTTCGAGGATGTCGTTCTCTGTCTGCGGCTCTTGCGTCTTCGCTTTGCCCTTCGGCTTCGGTCTAAGAAAGCCTTTTCCCTTCGGCGGCATGATGAATGCGGAATCGATGTTGTGGATACGTGATGTTGATGTTGATGAGTTCACTGGAAGTCGATGCAGCGTTTTGTAGAAGTGACAAATCTGCGCAAGCACCCTGGTGACATAAAATACTTGACCTACTAGTTATCCACACTGTCAAGTAATTTGTGTTGTCCAGGTGCAAGTGCGGTACAGAGGCTTTTAGTAATCGCAGTGCACCATTTCGGTCAATGATGTCGAAATACGAGCTAGCGCTGCTGTCGCAATTGCCACCTTCTGCTTGTACAAAACTTTGGAACTCATTGATCGCCCCGCTTTGACTAACTTAGCCCCACCCGCTCTCAAGAGCCTTGACCTTCCACGCAGCAACATCTACTTCAGCTTCTGCAGATCAAAATCATCCCACAGCAACTTTTTATCGACGAGAAATCCGTTGACATCAAACGAGACGCCTTCTTCTTTCAATAGCTGTAATTTCGAGTCCTGGTTCTGCCCGCTTGGCGCCTTCTCCCAATCGCCCTTGTAACCACCGACAAACTGCTACGGTCAGCACTTGTTGACCCTCCTAGTAATGAGACACGTACACCGGTACTAGCGATACAGCGATGGCACGGTACTTCTGGACAGAACGGGTTGACGCGTAACGCTCCGCCTACCGCTCGTGGAGAGCTGTTCAATGCTTTTGACAACGCGCCGTATGTTGTGACGCGACCTGCCGTCGGTTAGTAGGCAGAATGGTATCCGGGATGAAAGCTATTCAAAACCTTCTGGGATCTGTTGGAGCGCTGTGTAAACGCGCTCCTGATATGCAGTAACCTTTTGTTGCTTCGACATTGTGGCATCTGGTACAGTTGCGTAGGTGCAGAAGACGCGTCCACGGGCATTACTACGTAGGTAAGTTTCAACGCGCAGTCACGTGGCCTTGTCTCAAACAATCTAGGCGTCTACCCAAGCACGTGAAAGTAGTCCAGAGTACGTGCAGGCTACTTTCAAACATAATCATACAAGGATAGGCACTTCTTCGGGACCGTTCATCCTGTGTTCCCAACCCCGCAGATTACAAACAGCTCAGTTCACTACCACAACTGCCATTTCTCTCGGCAACATCAACAGCCGGTCACTTGGATATAGGGATCACCCTTGAATTCAATCGCTCATCCTTGCGGCGATCATAAGATATCGTTTACGCAAACACTTCGCTTCGTCATCGGTACGCTGTCTGCGTAATCCGGATGATATGAACAGTGGTCAGCCGCAGCTTTAGCCTTCCCACTTCGCACAGCAGTCTGCAAAAGGCATCAACCCCGATACATAGGGGTCAGCCAGCATAAGCAGATCTTCTCTTGGTGTCACACTTGATTGCTACCCTATAGCTTTGAAGGTGCGTGTTGACGGCTTTATGGTTAAGATGGCATGGCTTGTTTCAACAACACTAGACTGCAGGTCGTCATTTCCACACGAACAGCTCGCAACGACTTTTCTGTGCTCAGACCGTGGCGGGCCGGACTCCACCACACCTCATAGGGCTATGAAGTGTCTGCAGCAGGTGATTCGCAGATACTGAAGTAGTCGCGCCGTGCCGCCCTCCCTTCTCACCCCTTTCCCGTTTGAACGGGCCCGCGGTGGGCCCTTGGGTGCAAACTCAGATGTCAACCATGTATGTCATCTATGCTGCCGGGTGTCGGCGGTTATCAACTGCAGATGTTTGGCTCCAGCATCACCAACAGACTAGAGAATGGGTCCAATCTAGATGTAAAGGTCATCAGCATAATTCGCTAGGGTTTCCAGACCGCTTCTTGTGCGATCGTTGCTTTTCTAGTCCAACTCCGAGCTGCTTGGAGAGCTAAAAGAGATGGGCCATGTGATCAAGCAAACACGGCGTCTATAAGTCGGTGAACGCAATGTCAGGCAGTCGTTCACGATCTTTACTGCGTCTGGGTCTGGGTAGCTGGTATTCGCGGATGAGGTCTCTGGCCCCTGTTGTAGCCGCGGCCAGCGACGGCATGAAAATGGGACTCCTGGCTCTTATTGGCAGCAATCCTTCACCAGACGCTTCTCTATCCAGTATGGCGCGATCACATGATCGAATAGCTCTGCGCGCTCCCGTTTCTTCACATCAACGCAAAGCGAATGAGCGTGCAAAGCCGGGGTCAGCGGGCGTGGTGGCTTAAGCGCAACCTGGATGGTGGGACAGTATTCCAATTTGGTTGCTTCTCCGTCGGAAGCGCAGGTGAGACTGTTGGAGGCCAGAAATAAGGCCGTTTTTTTGCCATGGAGAACGAGACCGAGTCTCAATGTTTGAATGAGCAGCGACGTGTAGAGCTTTTGATGCGCTGTCATTGTGGCGAGGTAGATGGAGTGCTCAGCCTCAACTGCGGCTGCAGCTAAGCCGAAAGTGGACGCACTCAGCCACATGTCAGCTGGGGACGGGCCTTCCGGTGCTGCAGAGACACCATGACTCCACCCCAAGGAGCAAATCTGCAGTCTCTGCGTCAGAGCATGAAAGTGGTCACGAGAATAGCAGCACTCGTTGCAGGAACCGCTGGACGTGCTGCGCGTAAATCGCTCAGAGACATATGACTCTTCTGCATGGGAAGATCAAGCCGCCGCCTGTCGCCCTGCGGGTCCTGATTGAACAGTCAGACAACCGTCGATAGTGAAAGCTTCTCAACGAATTGATGTCTGGCCCGTTCAAGGCAGATGCATAGGGAGTGCTTGGGGTCCATATCGGGCCTTTCGTGTCTGATGAGGTTTGCAATGACAGCATGGCTGATAGTCGCGTGCTTTTGGCAGGCTGAAGGAGACATAGGGAGCTGGAAGCCCGAGGTTGGCAAACGAGTGTCGTTGCAACTTGACTGTGCCATATCTACACGTCTCGCTAACTTTTCTTGACCTCAGCTCCCAGGACCGGCAGCCTTGTCACGGGACGAGTCTGGAAAGGCAATAGTCAACACGAGGCTCTAGATGAGGGTTGCTGAGCCTTTGAAACGGCATGAAGTTGGTGGGTCAAGCGAAGGGTATGGGTGGCCTGGTAGCCAATTGGGCGCTTCCCTTGGCTGGCGCCGCACAGGGCTTGTCTGCGAATCGGCGCCCACAACAGCCATCCAGCAAGTCGACTGGCCGCCCTCTTTCTTCATCCCATACGCCTCCACCCGCCTATCCAAGCGCAAGCGCCCGTGATAGCCCAGCATGTCTCCGTGCCGGCCCAGCCCAACTTTGCAAGGCGGCCGGCGCGCATTCTCTGCGAGCACGTCTGCGCGTCTTGATGGGCAGGACGCCATGTTATACATATGCGGGCCCTACGCACCCCGCAAGCACAAGAACCAACAGATCTCAAACGTTCAGCTTAGCAGAATTGACTATACTTCGGCGCAGGACTGGACTACATCGAAAACAGCATCGGCACTGGTCCTCCGCTTTCCACACGGCTCATCCGGGAAAGCCCCACTGAGGCGACTTACGGTTGAAGCCCCGCGCTAGGACATCAACCCTGAGGAAAGAATAGACGGGACGCGTGAGCTTTCGTTGGGGGTCGAGTATATCACCACTCACCGTCTCGTTGTGTCGTGGTTGTTTTTCGTTCAAAACTGCGGTATCCTTGCACGTCCCCATCTCGGGCGAAGCCGACTGCGCCACAGCGATCTACAATTTTCGGTCCCCCCGATACTTGTGGCATACGAGAAAGAGCTTGACGTCTTGACCGAGAATCTGCACGAATACGCAACATTGCATGTATCTTTTGGCTACATCACTTATATTCATGGACTTGCAATCTTACTTTTTTGCATCAATCCCGAATCGCCACTCTACGTTCCGTTCTGCAATTCTTCCCGCTACCACCCGCTCACGCCGTTGAATCGCTTCACGGCTTCCCGAGCTGACTTTGCTGACATCCCGGAATCTCGACTGCCTGGTTACCCCGCGCCCAGACCTATCATCCCAAGAGTCCCACAGGGGGACAAGCACATGCCTTCATGAGTTACTCGCCTCTCACAGGGTTCTGCTGTACATCTAGTCGGGCTACACAAGGTTACCCGAGATGGCTTCCTATAAGTCACAATACCCTCCCACAAGGAGGATGGAGGACCGAGCGCCCACCACTCGGTTACCTCAGCGTTCTATCACTCCTACCACAACCACATCGCAGTTACCTACGCCAAGCCAGTCTAAGCTGCAAAAGAAAAGGCCATCAAGAGATGACGAGGTAATCTCCAGAGGCCCCATAAGTCAACAAGAGCCTGTACAGACAGCCAGCTCTCGCCAAAGGAAAACCAACAGATCTACGCCCATGTTTCCTCAACAACCAAGCGTGACAGGCTCAAAACCAACACCACAAACCTCGACTTCCCGACTACCTAAGCTTGAAGTTCCTCAAAGTATACGCACACCTTCCCTTGCCTCAGGCTCATCAGCATCCACCATTGAAAGTCCTCGATCGAATGTGCTTAGGAGAAAACAAACAAGTGTTGGAGTTACGAGTGGTCGACAAGCTACGTGCATCAGAGACGATTCCATGTCTTTTCAGGATGACAGGCAAATGATGGAGGGTATACCCGGTGGATACAAAGACCCTTTCTCTGACACGGTTTTGGGCATTTCGATACCGTCATCTTCGACAATCCTTGCTCGCTCCGAGCCTCAACTCGATTCCTTCGGTAACTCGTTTTACGACTATGAGATCGGCCCGACAGATATACTCCCACTCCCAATGCCACAGTATGCGCTTTCTACCACACCATCAACACGATATTCAGAGTCACCTGGGCCTTTCAGTGTCTCATCGACCCCAACATCGATGTCGTCCTACTCCCCTGGCACCACACTGTCAAGAGCTTCAAACCGCACACGACAAGTCAGTCCATTACAAAGTAGGCCGCCTGTATCCCGGCACAAGACTCCGGACGAGATCAATAGCCGTCATCCTCACACACTGTCTACTGTTACAGAGTCTTCTACGTCGTCGTCATCAGCATCCACCGTTGTAACAGAAGGAGCAATGTACAAAGATACCCAATCGTCGACAGGTCTTGCCACTCTACCTCAGAGCCCTCGGGTATCAGAAGTATTTTCAAGTACGGTAGAGAAGCCACGCACGCAGGCGCCTCCCGAATTCGCTCATCTTGCTGATCAATCACCCGTAACAATACCAACGGGTAGAAGACCCTCAAGGCCTAGTAGGGACGGCACTCCTGAGCTATCGGGACTCCGAGGCCCTTCGCCAATAATTCAAAGCAACATGCTAAACTTCCCATCCCATCACAGACGCACTGTATCGAACGAATCCAGGACTACACCAATTGCAAGCTCCAAGTTCAATGTTCCAGTCAAACCGTCTTCGCGAAACCCGTCGCCAAACCCTGCTTCAGCATTGCCAGCAGTCGCTCGGGCATCAGCACGCGGACCCGCATCAGACACTCACGATCGGAACCCCCGAAGGATCAGTGCAGGCCCAAGCCCCGCCCCTACCCATGCGCCAAGTTCAAGCAAGAGTTCTCGGTTTGGATTCTTCACACGCCGAACAAAGACCGAACCTATACCATCCGCGAAGTCTGAGAGCAAACTCCAGCGCAGAGGGCCAGCTGCAGGCACAGGACATGAAGGCTACGGCAGATATGCTGTGAGAGGCCGCAGTGGAAGTTCAGTTAGTACCAACAGTATTGGACGGTCCGCTAGCGCCGGAACTACCACTGAAAGTTTGGACAAGACACCCTCGACTCGCAAAAGCAGTATGACCAGCACAACGAGCGGAGACATGGACGACTTTTACCTGAATCGACTTGCTCCTGTTGTTATTCGAGGTACGGGATATAGCTCCGAGCTTTCACGCAGCCCTGAACCGATGCAGAGTAGCAGTAGTCTTGATATCTCTGTCAATCAAGGACTAGAGCTAAAGAAGACTGTAAGCAACACGTCGCAATCAGCACTGGAAAAGGGTCGCCCAACGCTGCTACCCTCAGCGATGCCAGACAATATGCGTGGAGCTTCTCCTATGAAGAGGATGACCCCGGGTTCACGGAAGCCATCTGAGAGCGACGATGACACCAAGCGATCGTTTTTACCTACTACAACCTCAAAGCGAACGTCACAGGCGTTACAGAGCGCTCAAGGTCCCGGTAAACACTCGGCCTCTGCTAGTCGTTCTGGAAAGATACGCAAGAACTCTACAGGCGAGGCAGCTACTGAGGTCAAGGAGAGCAGTTGGCTGAAGTCATCGAAGAAGAGCAAGGCAGAGAAGGAGGCGGCCCCGAAACCGGCCAAGAGATGGAACTTCTTTCAAAGGGCGCACGCAGGACCACGCGCAGCCACACCGGCAGCCCCTGTAGCCAGTCCTGAGAACAAGACCGTCGCGTCTCGCTCTGTTGCGCACTATGCGTTGATGGACCAATCCGGACTTGAACTGGACGATATTGAGCAGCTAATGCAGGAAGCTGACGAGGGAACGGAGAGCGCCCTTTCGGACGATGAACCAGGGAGGAGAGAGCGAATGCAATCCATGCTACTGCCACCCAAGCCAGTCTTGCCGCCTAGCTCCGCGCTGCCTGCGCGTTCGGCTTCACCCAAGGTCTCTTTGCGCCCAGAGGCACAGTCACAGCCACAAGTACAGCAGCATCAGCAAAGCAAGTTGAGCATCGACACTAGGGTTCAACCAACACACCAATACATGGATCGCTATTCACAGGCAGACTTGACACCATTTACGGATATCTCTCGACCTTCTTCTCCCTTCAGAGCACCATCAACAGAACAAGACGAACCTACTAAGCCCGAATCAGCCAATGTGGAGCATAACCAAGGTTACTTCGAACTTCCTCAAGAGATTGCTTCACCTGGACCTCCTCCGGTAAGCCCGCCGCCGCGACCAAGCCGCTTGCCCCAAGTAGGCCGGATACCCCAAGTTATATCAACTCGTCGTCAGGCCCGGGGCCCCTCTTCTCAGTCGTTCTCTCGTCCCTTCGTGTCGAACCAACCTCGTCCAGCGGCCATTCCGCGAACATCTTTCGATTCTATCGGCTCGGTCGTTGCGACTGCTGCTCCTGTCGAGCCATATCCGATCTTGCAAGGCTTGAATGCCCTAGCACATGGATCAGCAATCGCGACTATCAGCCCTATGGATGCCGAGCTCAACCGTCGCAGCGAATTCTTCAGGTTCCCACCACGCAAAGACTCAGAAGTATCCTACTCGAGTAGTTCGGGTATCTGGAGTTTTGCACCTGCTCCCAGCACAGCTGTCGTTCCGACTGCTGGGGCACCATTGTCTGATGATGAGCTCTGGAATGAATATGATGACCTCATCGATGAAGTGCTTTCGCCGGTCACTTCTCGGACGAGTGAGAATAAGCGAAGGTCAGCTGAGGATGAGCACAGTTTGCGGAGCCACCCGTCCCTTGAGCCAATGCCTCTGAGGCCGAAGGCACTCTGCAACACTTCAGGGGCCGAGAACGAGTATGAGGAGGTTGAAAATCCATCTCTACACCTTCGTCGTTCTCGCCTGCTTGCGGTCTTACACTCCACCCAGTCTCCCACATCGTCGGTCGCTTTCTCGGAGTTTCTCTCAGATTATGGCGAGAAAAAGATCAGCGTTATTGACCCGGTCACAGGGAGACTCAGCTTACCCGTCAGCCCTCGGCTTTCGTCAGGGTCAGATGCGAAACGCGCAACTCGCTCCAGTCTTCCAGTGTCCTTGCCCCAGAGTGCACGACAATCAGGAGCTACTGTTGCTTCGAGGTCAAGCAAAGATCGCGACAGTGTCAACACGAATCGACACAGAGATACACGCTTCATGGACATTGCCGAAAGTCAAACAGATGGACTAATGTCCATGGCTAATCTTCGCTTCGGTGCGCTTATGACGAGCAAGTGGCTTTCGTTTGGCCGCGTCTTGTTCAGTCCGGTACACTTCGAACTCAAGGATCCCAAAGAAGATCGCGTTCTTGTTATCGATGGTCTCGGCAAGGATTGGTCGTACTACTGTGCACTTACCTATCCTGAGGCGACTGTTTATGATATGGGACCCGATCCATCCTCTCCGTCGTCTTCCGAGACCGCGTCTGAGCCGTGGTCGACACTAAACAATCACCGTCACATCTGCCATCCCTCGCTCGGCAAGGCGTTCCCGTTCCCCATGCATTTCTTCGCGTGTGTCGTGCTTCGCTTCCCGACGGCTCTTCCCTCCTCGGAGCATCGCTTTGTCCTCTCAGAAGCCAAGCGCGTTCTGCGACCGGGTGGTTACTTGGAGTTCAGCGTCCTCGATATGGACCTCGTCAACATGGGCAACCGGGCGCGTCGCGCTGTCCGCGGTCTGAAGATGCGAATGCAGGTAGCGGATGAGAATATTTCTCTCCGCAATATCAGCGACGAAGTCATGGCGGGTATCGGTCGCAAAGGATTCGTCGAGTGCAATCGTTGCATTGTCGGCGTCCCCGTCGCTGGCCAACTTCCCAATGTCGATGATGCCCAGGCATCGTCTCACAAGAAGAATAGTAGCACAGCAAGCAAGATCCTGACTCAGCCCAAGGGACCCAAGCCAGAGGTTTCTTTCTCCGATCTTCTCAACGTCTCTTCACCTTCTGAAACCACAGACAACGGTATCACTGATATGGTGGCGCGCGTTGGCCGATGGTGGTATTCGCGTTGCTACGAATCACTCGTCCTACCAGAAGCTGGCGAACCTGGAGCAGCTGCTTCAGGCAAACTCCTCCAAAACAGTATCTGGCGTGACGAGGCCCTTGTCAACGAATGCGAAAAGCGCGGTACAAGCTTCAAGCTTCTCATCGGCTACGCTCAGAAGCCCGAGGTGGGCGTCCGACGCACCGTCAGCGTTTGAAAATGATACGTTTCTCCCGAGCTGCGCTCCAACAAAGTCCTGGAGACTTTTTTTTTTATCTATTTTCCTTACATATCATCATAATGGGTGGTTGGTTTTGTGGGTTTTATCTGGCGTTTATGCTGCGTTCAAGCGATTGTCGATTTCCTTATACCCTCGTTCTGATTTTTCTTCTTCTACTTTTCACTCAACACACTTGCATTGCGAAATGGCAAACGGTCTAGCATCATGACTTACTACAAACTACAAAGAATGGCGCAAGCCTGGCAGCATCATCGTTATCATCATCATCAACGACAACATACTGTCTAGTATCTTGTCAACAGACGCATACATGTACTATTTACTTTCGATCGAGTTTGAACATACTGGCTATGGACACACGACTTTTGAGGAAATATTTTTCTGTTTCTATGGTGGAAGGCTGGAGAAGGGCCTGGTGGATTTATAATACCCGGATTGTCAACATGGATACGAAAGATCAAGATACCTGACGTAGATATGAAAACACAGTCGCTTGCAGACTAGTGAATATGAGAACGAACACTTTTTGTTGCATACACCTGACTTGGTGGAACATCTTCCCGTGACAGTAGCAGGTCTCCAACACTACATTGTCTGACAATCCATACTGTACAAGCGAGAAGACTGGCGAAACACTGCAAACTTACAACAACTTGGTTTGAACATGTATTGATACAAGCGAGCATGGACTTTATGCCACTGCTAACATACTCTACAACTTCATACCCAAAACCTTGTGTACCCTAAGCGCCTGCCGAATACTCAAATCCAACATAATCTCCTCTGATCCACCAGGAATAGCATAAGCCCTAACATCCCTATACAACCTCTCAACCTTGGCACCCTGACCACCGCGACTATAACTCAGGCCACCGAAGATCTGACTGGCCTCCCTGGCGCAGAACTCAAAGGTCGTTGTGCTCTGAGCCTTTAAGCTGGCAATGGCGCCGCCGAGCTTGAGCATGGCTTCCATGTCGTTCATCTTCTCGCACTGGAAGATGAGGTTCTCCATCCAGTTGTAGCTGGCTTCGATTTGGCGGGCCATGTGTGCGAGTTTGAGTCGGATGACGGGGTGGTCGATGAGACGCTTGCCAAACGTCTTGCGCTTGTGGGCGTATTTGACGCTTTCTTCGTAGCAGACACGGGCGAAGCGGAGGCATTGGATGATGATGCCGATGCGCTCGTGGTTGAAGTTCTGGGTAGAGTTAGTATGTGTGGTAGTACGACTGCGTTTTGTTGCTTACCGTCATGATGACCTTGAAACCCTGGTTTACTTTGCCAATGACGTTTTCGACGGGGACCTTGACGTCCTCGAAGGTAATGTATGTTGTTCCACTGCTCCATACACCCTGGCAGTCCATCTTTCGTGTCGATACGCCGCCGGCACTGCGCTCGATGAGAAGGAGAGAGACACCGTTCATGCCTTCGCCACCAGTGCGGACGGCGGTTGTGAAGTAGTCAGACCAGATACCGTTTGTGATCCATTTCTTCTCGCCGTTGACAATGTAGTGCTTGCCGTCTTCGGAGAGCTTGGCCTCGCAGGTAAGGTTTGCAACGTCGCTACCGGCATCTACGGGATGTTAACATCTAGTTTTGATAAATGCTGAATGCATGAAGACTTACCAGGCTCGGTAATGGCCAAGCAGATCCTCTTCTTTCCGCTCAGCAGATCCGGACCAATTCGTTGGATAAGCTCCTTCTTGCCGAACTTGAAGAGAGGCGGTCCACCAATTCCGTATCCACCGATCAAGCCCCAGACGAGACCACCACTACCGGTTCTCGACAGCTCATCGGTGATGATCATCTCGTGGAAATGATCCCACTTCTCCGGTGGTACGCACTTGACTCTCAGGTCGGTGTAGTCTTTGGGGTATTGGATGCCGAGCATACCAGCGAGGTATCCGCGTTCGCCCATTTCAAGGAAGATCTCGTCGGGGACCTTCTTCGCTTCGTCCCAGTCGGTTACGTTGGGCATGAGCTTCTCTTCGACCCATTGGCGGACTTCGTCGCGGAGCGCAACATGAGTCTCGTTGTAGTAGGGGGAGTGGTACTAAGATGTATGTTAGTCGGGCTGCGGTTCTGTCCACCGTCCTTATGTTTGACGTACTGTTTGGTACCATGACGGGTCCGCGTATGGAATGAGATCTCCGTATGCGTCAAATGGCTCGCTCTCCTCGGCAGCGACCTCAGAAGGCATGGGCGCTACAACTCCGGAGTTTGCCTCGGGCTTGACCACATCCTTCTTCTCCTTCTTGACCTCAACCGCAGAGGTCGCGGGAGGAGCTGGGGGGGCAGCCTTGCTATCTAGCGAACCGACCTGCAGTTTCTGGTACTTCTTCAGGATGCTGTCGTTGTGGTACTTCCAGAACTGCTTTGACGCGTCCTTTCCGGCAACGCGCTGGAGAACTTTGGATTGTCAGTTGAAGTTTGAGGTCTGGAAGATGAGGTTTGCATACTCTTCTTGCCTCCTGGATGCTCCTCCTGGAAGTTGGTCAGGTCGTAGACATCTTCATCTACAATAATCCACAGGTCGCTCGCCGTCTTATGCGACGCGACATCTGCGGTTGAGAAGCGTTTTGCCATGATGCTCTAAGTGTGAGAATGCAAAAGAGAGAATCACGGTACCAAGGCACGCAAGGAGATGAAGTGTCGCTAATGTCAAGACAAAGCCGAGGGCTTCCCAGGGTTATAAGAGGCGTGGTAGGTTTCGGGTACTTTTCACATGCCAGTTGCTACTCCACGCCAAGGTAATCCGGGGAAACCGCCTGCTGCTGAAGGTCGGCCGCGCATATGGCGTGTTTGGGGTGCAGCCGCCGCTGTCTAGTGATCTCGTGAGCGGATTTGCGACTACTGCAATTGGTTCTGCCATGCCTGAGCGGGTGACCTGCTGTTTGAAGGTAAACGTCATCCATGCAAATGCCGAGGCATGCCGCATTGGGTTACTCACGTGGCGGCCCATGGTCCTGCGGGGCCGAAGTTGGAAGGCTTCACATGTCAGTGAGATGCTGACATTTAGATTTAGATGCTTCAGGAGGCGCACATGCTACATCTGTGTTCTCGATAGTAAAAAGCGAATGGCTTGTCTTGTCAGCCATACACGAATACTCCCACGGCCTTTTACTATCAAAGGACCAGTCGGACGGCAACAACAACTCTCTTCCAAGGTTCTCTGATGAGTGTATGGAACTTGCAGGCATCCTGCGCTTAGCTCGATTTCTCTACGAGGGCGTGATCTCTCCATCGTGTTCTGTGTGGGGTCTCCGCATCAGCTACTCGTCATGATTCGCATTGATTCAGAAATGTAGCTCTTCTCGTCCTACCACACTCTTGCGTTATTCTAGAACTCTCATAGACGCATCACAATGCCTGGCGAAGTCTATGTCAAGAAAGCCTCGGACATCCAGGCTCCCGATGGCCCCCAAACCGACGGCATGATTCGCATGCCTGCCATCGTAGACAAGTCTGATCAATTATGTGGCACCGGTAGGATTGATCTACACTGCCAAGGCCGCGACTGCTAACAAGAATAGTAATGGTTGCGAAACCTCATACATCATCGGCAGTTCACCACCACGGTGAAGAGGGTACGTCTTGTGTCACATTTCTGCCCACACCGTTATGCATCTTGACTCGCCATGATACATGAATACCAATCTGATGTTCGCTCAGACACAATTGTCTACGCTGCAAAGGGCCACGGCGCCATAGTGAGTGGGCCAGACGGTAACAAAAGACAAGAGTTAGCCCCTGGTGATTTCGCCCTTATACCTGCATATGCGGAGCATCAAGAAGTCAATGATAGCGACGATGATGTTGTCTGGATCATTACTCGAGGTGGCAGAAACCCTGTGGTCCATAATCTCGAGGGTTGGACTAAGAGCTGAGCGAAGTTCCGGACGAAATCTAGTGGTATGCGATTCGCGTCTTGATCATATTTCCCTCTGTCTATTTCATATCCTTGCAGCGAAGTCTTTCCCTCTGAAGTTATTGACTTTTGTTCGACCGATTTAATCCTTCCGATGAGTGCGGAACGACACTAGTAACGAAAAAACAATCGAAGAGTTGGACACTTGCAAGAACATGGTCACTCATGGTAACTGGCCGAATTCGTGTTCACGGACGTTGTACATTCATTGAGCTCTTGTATACACATCCTTACATGTCATCTTTCAATAGCCTTGTTGATGGACAGATAGGATAAACGGCGATTTCGAGCCCGCCGCGCCAGGCTATTTGCATTGGGATTCCCGGCATCAACACGATCAAGATAGCTGGTGTGCGTCAAGCATTCGAATGCAAGGTGCAAATGGATCACTCATGGCGAGCATGCTTCCAGCATTGGTTAGAAATAGCGAAAGGGCTGGCTGCTACTCTATAATGACCGGTAACCCGGTCAGTGTACCTATGCTAAGGTACTTTTTCGATACTTGGCCCCTGAAAACGCATGGTTGCATAATGCCGAAGTTATTGAAGATGAAATCATAGATGCGCTGAATTCAAGGCGTTGGCGGAGAAGATACTCGATGGGTGTAGCGGAGGCAGAAAGGGGAAGGACATTCTGCGCTAGCGCAACCGACGCTGGCTTCGTTCCTGCACATGATCATCGCATTGCCGTTCCCCTTTCCTCCTTCAAGATCGCCCCGCAGAAGCCACCGGTTGACTGGCCGAACCTCAGGCACACGAGACATACAACATGTGTAGCGACGTGGCTGAAATGTCATTGGGTTCATCTGCCACTAACGTTATTCTGTTAGAGTACTTATCTCTGTGGCTGAGGTGTGGAGAGCGGATGCATTGACAAAGAAGGCATCGCAATTTACACCACTGCATACTTGCGTCCTGCGTTGGTTTTGCCTGCATATACCTACAGTTTACAGGAGACAACTACAAGCCATAAGCCGTCTGACAGCTACCAAAATTCTATTCCGGCCTGTAATCTAAAACATCCTGCGGAGGTCAGCTGAACGAGAGTCGAGAGGCAACCTGGATGCCCAGTCGAACAAGACCCTCTCACAATATAGTCCAACATTCAAAGTAAAACTGCATGCTCGTCGTCTTCACATGAAAATACCGGTACATACCTTGTCGCTACCCGTTTTAAACTCCCCTGTCGACCGCCTCGCGAACGTTCCGATTCCCGATCATTAGCCGGCCCATGTACGTATGATCCCAGCGCTGAGTTGACCCACGACAACCTTGCTCGGTCTTGCACCTGTATCCGTCGTTCACGCGTGCCCCATATGCCCATCGTTATACAACGCCATGGCTAGCGCGTGTTTAGTTTCGCAAAATGCAGTGACCGGGTGGCTTGGGTCTTGCGGGGTTGGAAGGTAGGCCTCGTATTTATACATGAGCCCTGTCCGAGCATTCGAGATGTTGTCGCAGGCTGTATTCTGCGAGACGTTCACTTGCTTCCCCGGATTGTGTCTTTATTATGGCTTCGCTTCTCGTGTTGGGCTTTTCAGCCCTCGTATCGGGGGCAGCTATCCAGCAACGCGATGCTGTTCCAGCAGGATTCGTCGCGCCACCATACTATCCAGGTATGTTGGGACTCTATTCGATTATATCTGTGTTGAATTTTGTAGTGTTAACGTCTTCTAGCCCCACACGGAGGATGGACAGCAGACTGGAGTGAAAGCTACAGGAAAGCATCCATGCTTGTTTCGAACATGACCCTTGCCGAAAAGACCAATCTCACGGCCGGAACTGGAATCTTCATGGGGCGCTGCGTCGGTAGGCACAAATCGTATTATACACAATTGCATCATACCTAACCATAAGCTAGGAAACACGGGTAGTGCTTTGCGAGTGGGTATCCCTCAGCTCTGCTTGCAAGATGGACCTCTAGGTGTGCGGAACACTGATCACAACACCGCATTCCCACCGGGCATCACTGTCGGAGCGACCTGGGACAAAGACCTTATGCAACGTCGTGGTGTTGCGATAGGTGAGGAGTTCCGTGGTAAGGGCGTAAATATCCATCTTGGCCCCAGCGTAGGACCACTCGGCAGGAAACCAAGAGGCGGTAGAAACTGGGAAGGCTTTGGCTCGGACCCGGTACTCCAGGCTTTTGGTGGAGCTCTTACTATAGAGGGCGTCCAAAGCACTGGTGTCATCGCTACGATCAAACATCTAATTGCGAATGAGCAAGAAGAGTACCGCATGTGGAACCTGGTCAAGCCTGGCTACTCCTCAAACGTGGATGATCGCACACTGCACGAACTCTACCTTTGGCCGTTTGCAGAAGGTAAGCTAGAATCGACGAAGGATACGAGCCAAAGCATAGTCACTGACAGACTATGAACAGGTGTACGATCTGGTGTCGGATCTGTCATGATCGCCTACAATGCTGTCAATGGTAGCGCATGCGCACAGAACAGTTACATGATCAATGGCCTTTTGAAGGACGAGCTTGGTTTCCAAGGATTCGTCATGTCCGATTGGTTGGCTCAAATCTCTGGAGTTCCCACGACACTCGCTGGATTGGACATGTCAATGCCTGGAGACAAAAACGACATTCCATTAGTTTTTGGAACTTCTTACTGGATGTACGAGCAGACACGTTCTGTGCTGAACGGCTCTGTTCCAGTGGACCGCGTGAACGATGCCGTGACGCGCATTCTCGCAGCATACTTCCAGATGGGCCAGGATCAAAATTACCCTCGACCCAACTTTGACGCCAACACACAGGATGCTGAGGGCCCTCTGTACCCCGGATTACTCTTCGGGCCACGGGGAGTGGTGAATGAGTTCGTCGACGTCCAAGGTAACCACGCCGAGGTCGCTCGTGAAGTAGCTCGCGATGCCATCACGCTACTTAAGAATGATGGCGGCATTCTACCATTGACCAAGAACGCGTCTCTCAAGATCTTCGGAACTGATGCCGAGAAAAACCCGGATGGAATCAACTCATGCGCCGACCAAGGCTGCAACAAGGGAACCTTGGGTATGGGCTGGGGAAGTGGCTCCGCTCGCTATCCGTACATGGACTCTCCCATTGATGGTTTCAAGGCCCGAGGCGCGACTTACCAGTTTTTCAACACCGACTCATTTCCAGGAAACTCCAACCCGTCACCGAACGACACTGCAGTTGTCTTCGTTACCTCTGATTCTGGAGAGAACTACATTACTGTCGAAAACAACCCTGGAGACCGCACTTCTTCTAACCTGAACCTCTGGCACAACGGTGATAAGCTCATCAAGGATGTTGCTGCCAAATACTCGAATGTTGTCGTCGTAGTACATACCGTTGGCCCCGTCCTCATGAATGAATGGCACGACCTGCCTTCCGTCAAAGCAGTCGTTTTCGCTCATCTTCCCGGCCAGGAAGCAGGAAACTCTCTGATGCAAGTCCTCTATGGCGACGTCTCTCCCTCTGGCCATTTGCCTTACACTTTGCCCGTGTCCGAAGATGATTACCCAAAGTCTGTGGGCCTTGTCGGATACCAGCTTGGACAGCCCCAGGACACATTCACGGAAGGCCTTTACGTTGACTACCGTCACTTCCACAAAGCCAATGTGACACCGAAATATGCCTTTGGCCACGGTCTTAGCTACACATCTTTCTCTTTCTCGGATGCTACCATTACCTCCGTAACTCCTCTCACAGCAACGCCCCCAACGCGCCCCGCAAAGGGCCAAACACCCGCATACTCGACAGCCATTCCACCTGCCTCGGAAGCAGTCTGGCCAGCCAACTTTCCCCGTCTCTTGCGCTACATCTACTCCTTCTTGGACCAGAATGATGCAGACGCCGCCAGGAAGATCGGTGACTCTCCGAGTACATACCCCTACCCTGTAGGCTATTCCAACGAACAAAAGCCTGGTCCACCAGCAGGTGGTGCACAAGGAGGCAACCCCGCACTCTTCGACACCGCATACAACATTGCCGTCACCGTAACAAACACCGGTAACCGCCCAGGCAAAGCAGTTGCACAACTCTACGTACAATTCCCGAGCGAGAGCACAGTTGATACACCCGTGATTCAGCTCCGAGACTTTGAGAAGACGAGCACATTGGCAGCTGGTGCTAGTCAAACACTCAACTTGCGAGTTACGCGGAAGGATCTCAGTGTCTGGGACGTTGTAGCTCAGAACTGGGTAATTCCCGCTGTTGGTGGTGATTATGGTATCTGGATCGGTAGTTCGTCGGACCAGTTGCGCTTGAGGTGTGGTACAGCGCGTAGAAGCTGTGCTGAGGCTGCCAGCCCGGTATAAGTCTTTATCTTTATAACGTAGTATGGAATGTCTATTGCATAATAACTTACGTTGAGACTGTGACTTTCTAGGATGGCTTGAATGCTTGGCATAACACATCCCTCCCTTGGTTTAGCATACCATTCCTGATTTTACCGCATTCCATTCCTCACCCTATCGGAACGACCTCATCTTCGACTACATAACAAACTTCCCGAGATCCTCAGCCCTCCCATCACTAACCCCCCTTTCCCAGCATACCCTATTTCCCTTCTAAACATGTTTGCAGAGCAGAGTTTTTGAACGCAGAGACCATAATGTCACTGCGTTGTCGCAGTCCGCTGACAAGGACAATAGGGACCCAACGATCCGCAACTCCCTGGAAGTGTAACACCTAGTACTGAATTTGAACCCAACACGCACGTCGGATGTGTCATCGATGTCGCGCTGGTAGGTCAGCCTAACCAGGGTACCCGCCTCTTCAATGGACCATTTGTATCGAGAAACGACACCATGTCACAGCAAAGCTGTAAAGAGTATGTTCAACCCCGCCAAACGCTGCCTACGGGCTGAATACGCAAACACGGCTTGCTAACGATCTAAATAGTTTCTGTAAGATTCCCTCTGCGGCCGGTCCGGATGCGCCGTACAAGTACTTTGGTATCGAGTTTGGTCGCGACTGCCGTTGCGGAACAAACTTCTTGCACGACCCGATTTTCAGCACCCAGTGCAATACTACGTGTTTGCTCAACCCTGCGCAGCTATGTGGTGGACAGAACGTCATGGACCTTTGGCTGAATGTTGATTATGTTGAGGTGAGAAGGGCGTTTTACTCTATACTGAAAGAGTGTAGCTGATGGTTTTTTAGCCTGCGAATGGAACGACTACTGGCACACCTACGGATGGCACTCCGGGCTCAACTCCCACCGGTACTCCTACTGATGGTTCTCCTTCTGGAACACCTACGGATGGCAACCCAGACGATGGTACTCCCACGGGTAACCCTGACGATGGCACTCCGACAGGCACGCCAACAGATGGCAACCCCGACGACGGATCACCTTCAGGTACCCCAACTGACGGCAACCCCGATGACGGATCACCTTCAGGTACCCCGACCGATGGAAACCCTGATGATGGATCTCCCCCAGGTACACCTACTGATAGCAATCCGGACGATGGTTCACCTTCAGGCACACCGACTGATGGCAATCCCGATGACGGCAATCCTTCAGGTACACCGACTGATGGAAACCCTGACGACGGCAACCCCAGTGGCACTCCCACAGACGGCAACCCTGATGACGGCAACCCATCGGGCACGCCTACTGGAAACCCTGATGATGGAAACCCGGACGGAGGCCAGCCATCATCTACACCATCGTCGCGACCTCGACCTAGCCGTCCTAACCGATACCCATCATGGGTAGGTGATGGTGTCGACCCACCATACTTCCCTTGGTACCCGACCCGGCCTCGTCCTGGTCATGGGAGGCCCACACCCAGTCCTACTCCAGCCGTCAATTACGGCAACGGCTATGGGACAAATGTGAGACGGTGGTTGGGTACTGTCTGGTACTGAGCTGGGTAGGATATAATGTAGACTAGGACATTCTGTAAGCATCGCCATAACTTCGGTGGTACAAAGCTAATAGACAACAGTTCTTTCTTTAAAATGGCATAGCTCTGGCATTGGCATTTGGCGATTTCCTTATGAAGCAGAGACTACCTAGGTACCATGGAACGGACACGGTGGTCTGACAAGTCAGCAATATTATACAAATGTTGGTTTAATCATGTCCCCCCTGCAGTGTGGTAGGCGATGGTGACGGGGGATCGGGTTGACTAGCTGGTCGAGGCATGTGCATGTTGCGGTGTAGAAACCCCGCAGTGCGCAGTATCAACCCCGCCTTCTTGCTCGTGATGCTGTGAATGAGGAGACTGCATGTCCCTGAAGGTGTGCTGGACTCATTTGCACCGGGCAGATTGGGTGGTCACGCGGCAGGAGTGTAAAGGGGCAATCATGTGATTGGCCGAGAAGTGGATATTGCGTCGATTTATGCCCAAACGCCAGCTGATTGGCGTGGATTGGGTGATTTATCCACGAGATGGTCAGGCAGTTGTGCGCAGAGGGAGAGGTTGAATTAGATGGGAGACCAATACGATAGCTTAGCATTGTTGTTCGGGCTTGTCGAGGGCAGCTCGAGTGCATTGAGCGATTGAGCAATTTTAGATGAGTCGTGTCGCGTCGGATCCGGCGTCGAAACGGAGCTTATACGAAGCTATGCACCGCGCATTATGCTGTGCTCCGTCTCGCTCAGGCCAGACGTCACTCTGAGCTATGATTGTTTAGGTTGGCGCAGTTCCTGTGGTTGCTCCGGAGAGAGACTTGACTCCTTGCTGGACCGACTTCCCCAGGGGTTCGCTCACCATCCCACAGCTCATCTACTTGCCAGAAGCCTCTTGTTGAAGACCAATTGACCGTGCAAGCTTTTGTTGTAAGTTGCATTCTTGTGAAACCGTCATATATCCCTGTCGCGCCATCGTCACTGCTTGTACATAAACAAATTGGCTGGTTTCAGGCGCGGACCAAGGCCATCATCTCCCACGTATCCTATACCTAAGCCCGCAGCCGGCACTCGTTCGACACCACCTTGCTGATAACACACTGACGATCGCCTCGTCCCAATTCAGCATGTCGAACGGCGTGCGCAACCTGCGCGCCATGTTTGAGAACTCCAACTCGGCATCACCTGAACCCCGCGGCCGCTCGCCGGTAGACGCAGCTATGTTGTCCGACAGCAGCGACCGCCCACGCTCCAGAGTACGCGCCTCCTTCGTCCCTGTTGAGCCACCTCCTACGAGTGCCCCTCGCGACTCCTCGACCGATTTGGGCCAGACAAAGGGCACCCCATCCAACAGCGTTGCCGCACATCGACGAGAAAGTTTCCGCGTGAGCCAGGACAAGCCCGACGAGCTTGCTGAGCTCAAAAAGGCCGTCAGCGAGGAAAAGGAGGAGCGTCGCCAGAGCGTGGCTGTTCCCGAAGCTGTGCCCGAACAGGCGGTTGAATCACGCGAATCTTCAATACCGGCTCCGCCCATCCGCGACGAAGACGACGCCGCCAACATGCCCAATCTGGGCTCCATCATGAAGGGCTCCGACTTTCCCGAGTCGTCTACCCGCGTTGATGTGGAGGTGCCTGCTCCTGTCATTGACGACGTCAAGCCTACTGAAGCTCCAGCTGTCCCCGAAGAGAGCGCGGTTGAGGCCAGCGAGCCGACCCCGAAAGCTTCGCCAGTGCTTGCTGCTGCCCAACCCGCTGAGAACCCCGACAAAGCTACGACGGGCGCCCAGGAAGATGTTGCGCTTAGGCCAGCAGCTCCCACCGAGGAAGCTGCAATTGAGGACGACAAGCCTGCTGTGGACGGAGCTGCTGCTGAGCATGAAGCTGCCATTTCAGATGAAAGCTCGGCGGCCGCCCAACCCGCCGAGAACCCAGACAAGCCTGTGACTGGCGCCCAAGAAGAGGCGACCCTGAAGCCCGCAGCTCCCACCGACGCAGCCGCTGTTTCTGGCGAGACGGCTACTCTCGCGCCCCCAGCTTCAAGCACCGAGACTCCCAAACCCACTGCGAGCAAAGCAAAGACAAATGGCACTCCTGCGACAAAAAAGCAGGAGATCAAGAAACCTGCCACCATCTCGACCACCAAAGCTGCCAAAGCACCCATTTCGGCCGCCAAAAGCCCACTGCCAAAAGCTGCACCCAAGACTCCCCCGAAGCCCAAGGCGGCCACACCAGCTGCGCCTGCTCCAAAGCCCAGTCCATCCAAAGTAGCAAGGCCGGTGTCTCAGGCAAAGTCAACAGCTTCCAAGGAGCCCGTCAAGGCCCCAGTCACCAAAGCCCCGGCTCTGAAAACCCCAGCCGCAGCAGCCCCAGCCAAGAAGACCAGCCGCACTTCTCTGCGGCCTCCGGTTGCATCATCGGCCCCAGCGCCCACCAGCAGTGCCGCTGCTAAGCCCAAGGCTGCTGCTCCAGCTCCAGAGAACAAGAAGCCAGCTGCTCCCAAGCCAATTGCCACTGCTCCCCGTAAAAGGCATGTCTGGTTACATCTAACCCCCTTTTACTCCGCTAACAGTATTACAGCACCTCGCCAACTGGCTTCAAGAAGCCAGCCCCGAAATCGCCCACCCGCCCCGTCGGTCTGCCTTCTCGTCTCACCGCGCCTACCGCTGCCTCAGCTGCCAAGCATGGAGAAGAACAAGCTACGAAGAAGCCAGCCACTACAACTCGTCCTGCAACCAAAATTGCAGCTCCCAAAGCTTCACGACCTTCAGTTGCACCCACTGCGACCACTGCGACCAAGCGACCAGAATCACGTACGTCGACCGCGAGTTCCGCGCCCAAAGGCGGTTTCCTCGAGCGCATGATGCGACCAACAGCCGCAAGCTCCAGCAAAACCCACGAGAAGCCACACGAGAAGCCGCAAGACAAGCCTGCGTCTCCACCTCGCAAAGCCCCTGCCGGCTCGAAGCCTAGCACTCTACAGAAGGGGAAGAAGAAGGTCGAAGAAGTCGCGGCCAAGGTCAAGGACGCCGTAACCAACGGACATGATGATGAACACAAGACTGAGGATGAGCACAAGTCCGAGGGAGAGGCCGTCAAGGAGTCCGATACCACTGAGCAAGCGATCGAGGGAGCCACCGCTGAAGAAACACCACAAGAACCGGCCAAGGCAGCCACTCCAGTCCAAGATGTGGAGCCAGCCACGGAGCCCACGGAGCCGGTCACTGCAGAAGTGCAAACATCGACCGCAGAAGCCGAGACTGTCCGGTAAATGCAGATCTTACGGCCTCATATATCCCGTGTCATATGAGACGCATCGTTTTAAATTCTGGACCTTTACATACGACAGTTCATAGGCCGCCCCACGACCGCGAAAATTACGGCTTTTGGCGGGATTTTCAACGGAGATGTTCTTTTAGTTTCTCTTCTCTTCTCAGACAGCATTTTCTGGAGCGATTGTTTGGCGCAACCACATTCATGGATGGATACCTACGGACATGGGAGTGGGGGAAAGATTTGGATACAGATTATTGTGTGTATAGTTGTCCCTGAGCGAAGGGTTCGCAAAATTTGGCAGACATTACCAGTAGACTATAATCCATTCTTCACTCCAAGACCTTCTCCAATGCTAGTTTGAAAGGTTCACGTTTTCGGCGTTTTGTTTCAGGTTGGAACGCGTTGGCACGTGACTGGCACCTCCGCCCGAAACTCCGATGGCCCAACTTTTTCCAGGCGGGCAAGCGACGAAACGTAGCGACAGCGGTCCCGAGCGTCGTCGTTTCGTTCTTTTTTCTTCTTGAGCCGTTGCCTGGTGTTCAAGATGAGGGTTCAATCTCTTTTGCGGGCACAATCGCTTGCCACAAGCAGTCTTCGCTGTTCTGCACGATCAGTTGCGAGAGCACCTTCACGATGCGCTCTGTCGACAATTGCGGCGTCGCGCACACCGTACACTAATGGCTCCAAGACCGACACATGGATAGAAGGCCAGAAAATACAAAATCAACGGAGGTGGCAGACTACAGCCGCCAAAGTGTACGTCTCGCTAGAGACTGACCCTAGCGAAAGCGAGGTGCTGAAAGGCTAATTGATAATTTAGATTGGAGCAAGCGAAAGATGACCCCTCTACTCTGACACAAGAGAAAATCGTCGAGAACCTAGACCCGGTCGAGTGGGAGCGATTGTCGAGGGTACGGAATATTGGTATCGCAGCGCACATTGACTCTGGCAAAACCACCGCCACCGAGCGCGTACTCTTCTACACTGGCCGAATCAACGCTATACACGAGGTGCGGGGTAAAGATGCCGTGGGTGCAAAGATGGACTCTATGGATCTTGAGCGTGAGAAGGGTATCACTATTCAGTCCGCGGCGACTTTCTGCGACTGGGTCAAGAAGAACGACGAGGGAAAAGAGGAGAAGTACCACATCAACTTGATCGACACACCAGGGCATATCGACTTTACAATTGAGGTGGAGAGAGCGCTGCGAGTCCTTGATGGAGCCGTCATGATTCTCTGCGCTGTCAGTGGCGTGCAAAGTCAGACCATTACTGTTGACAGGCAAATGAGGCGGTACAATATTCCTAGGATATCTTTCGTAAACAAGATGGACCGAATGGGTGCCAACCCCTGGAAGGCAGTCGAGCAGATCAACCAGAAGCTCCGGATACCAGCTGCGGCTCTTCAGGTGCCAATCGGACGCGAGGATGGCTTCTTGGGTGTGGTTGACCTCGTTAGGATGAAGGCGATATACAACGAAGGACCCAAGGGTGAAATCATCAGAGAAACTGACGAAATACCTGCGGATATTGTTGAGCTATGCAAGGAGAAGAGGCAGGAGCTCATCGAGAAGCTGGCAGATGTTGACGATGAGATTGCGGAAATCTTCTTGGACGAGAAGGAACCCACAATAGCCCAGATCAAGGCTGCTATCCGCCGAGCGACTATCTCCCTCAAGTTCACACCCGTCATGATGGGCTCTGCGCTTGCAGACAAGTCCGTACAGCCGATGCTCGACGCCGTTTGTGATTATCTGCCAAATCCGTCCGAAGTCGAGAACATGGCCCTGGACAAGAAGCGTGCGGAAGCTCCAGTCAAGCTCGTCTCATACAACTCTCTTCCATTTGTCGGTTTAGCCTTTAAACTGGAAGAGAGCAGTTTCGGACAGTTGACGTATATCCGTGTATACCAGGGTACACTGAGAAAGGGAATGAACGTATTCAACGCCAGGTCAGACAAGAAGATTAGGATCCCCAAGATTGTGCGCATGCACTCGAATGACATGGAGGAAATTCCTGAGATTGGCGCTGGAGAAATCTGCGCTGTGTTTGGTGTCGACTGCGCGTCTGGTGATACCTTTACTGACGGTAACCTCGCATACACCATGGTAAGCAGCCACTGCATAATGAATATTGTATTCCGCTAACCCCTCTCTCTCAGACTTCCATGTTCGTCCCCGAACCCGTCATCTCGCTTTCGATCAAACCCAAGCACACCAAGGACACTCCCAACTTCAGCAAAGCCATGAGCCGCTTCACGCGAGAAGATCCCACCTTCCGCGTCCACACCGATGCCGAATCACAGGAAACCATCATCTCAGGTATGGGTGAACTCCATCTGGACATTTACGTCGAGCGCATGCGCCGTGAATACCGCGTCGAATGCGAGACTGGCCAGCCCCAAGTCGCCTACCGCGAGACCATGACACAGCGCGTAAACTTCGACCACACGCTCAAGAAGCAGAGTGGAGGATCTGGAGACTACGCGCGTGTGGTAGGCTGGATGGAACCTGCCGAGTCCCTCGGCGAAAACAAGTTCGAGCAGCAAATCTCCGGTGGCACCATTTCGGAAAAGTTTCTGTTTGCTTGCGAAAAGGGCTTCATGGCTTCCACAGCAAAGGGTCCCTTGCTCGGCCACCGCGTCCTCGGTACCTCCATGGTCATAAACGACGGTGCCACGCACGCCGTCGACTCCTCGGAAATGGCCTTCAAAAACGCTACCCAACAAGCCTTCCGCAAAGCCTTCAAAGCCGGCGCCCCGCAAGTCCTCGAACCCCTCATGAAGACTACAATCACCGCGCCCAACGAGTTCCAAGGCTCCGTCGTTGGATTGTTGAATAAGCGAAACGCTGTTATCAACGACACTGAGATTGGACCAGAGGACTTTACGGTCTATGCGGATTGTAGTCTGAACAGCATGTTTGGGTTTAGTAGTCAGTTGAGGGCTAGTACGCAGGGTAAGGGCGAGTTTAGCATGGAGTTTAGCCATTATAGTCCTGCGCCACCGCAGTTGCAGAGGGAGTTGGTGGCCAAGTATGAGAAGGAGCAGGCGGCTAAGAATGCTTAGTGAGAGACTGGCTATGAGGATATGTTAAGGCGGTGAGCTGGTTGCTTGCATGTATAGATGGTTAGGTTTCGGGGCGTATATGTGTTGTATGTGAGAGACAATGTGGTGGGATGTACGAAATACTGTACTGTTACATGTAGTATACGGCTATGACGAAAAGAAAATGATATCCCCTCCAACAATCAAACACCGCCTTACCCTCTTCTACCCCCCTCGATACAATCTACTCGACATCCAACCCCGGTCTCAAACTCTTCCTCTCAAACGCCCTCCTCACTGCCAGCCCAACCTGACTCCACCCATTAATCTCATTGTGCCCCCCATGTCTCACAACCTCCAACTCCAGCACCCTTTCCCCCCTCGCATCCGCCACTTTCTTATACGCAAACGCGCCCCTTTTTACCCTCTCACTCCCATGAATACTGCGTCTTTCCTCCTCCATCGACACGGATTCATCCGCCAACATACGCGTTTGTAGCGGTTCAAACAGGGCTTCTGATTCACGGAACGTGATATCCTGGTCATTTCGCGCATGCAGGATATGGATATGGAAACCCTCGTGTTTGGAGGCAGACGGGGACGTGTAGGAAGTAGAGATTAGGGCGGACAGGCGAGATGCAGTATCCCAAGTATCGACAATACGGGCGGTGATGTAGTTTGCGATGCGGGGGTAAGCATTCAGTGGTTTAAGCACGGGGAAGAAACCGCCGATTTTGTAGGTTTGAAGCAAGAAAGGGAGGTTGCGGAAGGGGGAAACGAGGATGATGCCTGCGAAGGCAGGAGACCCTCGTTTACTGGGTTTGATCCATGCTTGTGATGTGGTTTGAGCTGGGAGGGCGGGAGATAGCGGGTCGGCGAAGTAGAGGGCCGCGGCTGATGTTACTGCTGTTCCGAGACTTTGGCCGAGGAGGACGGTGCGGGAGGCTGGGTGAGAGAGCGTGGTTTGGAGGTAGTGCAGGAGGCTTATGGCGTCGGTTATTAGGCCGGTTTCGGTGGGGAGGTGTGGGGGTTGGGAGAGGGTGGATGGGGGGAAGCCGCGGTAGGAACAGGTTAGGAGGTGGGTTTTGGGTATGGAGGTTATTGAGCGGTAGGTTGAAGGACGTTGGTTTTGAGCAATGTTACCGGCGTTCTGGAGTTGTTAGTTTTGGATATAGTGGAGATCGGAGAGCAACTGGACGTTTTGGGTATCGTGGAGCGTAGTAGGAGGGAAATTAGAGACTGAGGATATGGAATCTACGAAGATAAGAGTGATAGCGATATAAAGAGAAAGATGCCGCGATGATAAGGATGAAAAGAGTAAGAGAAGGACAAACTCACCCCATGGAAATTCACGACAACCCTAGTCTCCACATCCCTCCTCATCAACTTCTCCCCAACAGTCCCCTTAAGCCCCTCGACGGTCTCACCTGCCGTCGCTGCGCTAACAAGCTCATACTCATTCTCCAAGTAGACGTCGAGCGGTAACACGTGCCAGCAAAACAGCCGCTCATTGTCTAATGTCGTGAGCCAAAAAGGTTGAACCTGGCCCTCTGCCATTCCAAGCATCAGTCAAGTGTCCAGTTTGTTTTACGGGGAGGAACTAACTGGCAAACCCAAATTCCTCTGGATTAGTCACATTATGCCAAAAGTTTGTATTGAATTTATGTGCGTAGAGGGCACTATATCCCAGAAGGTTTATGTTAGCGAATCAACTTCCCAAATATCACTGCTTGTCCTACGCTTCCTTCTCTTTTCTCCACCTCTCTGTTCCCATAAACCATGAACAGTAAAAAGTAAGATCAACTTACTATCTCTGCATACTCGGATTCAACAACGCGCCTATGAAAGCCGCCCACAGCATGCCCAGGATAGAAAACGTCCAGTACCCCTTCACAAAGGCGGATTTGAGGCTCGCCATTGTGTCTGTGGGTTTCTCGGAGCGAAAAGGATAAGTGCAGGTAGGGTGGTGTGTTGGTTGCGGGAAAGACAAGTTGGATGACAGATGGTAGGATGCGGGACTAAGCCCAGATAAGCAGGCCGCAGCGAGGAGCTTGGCGTCGGAGGTGCGCGATGATAACGTGATTTTTGTAGGCAGGAACGATACATGCATTATCTCTGTTTGAAGTTTGTCACTATGTGATATTTTTTGTATTTGGACTACTGATACCATGGCGGGGAACATGGTGCAAGCCCGTATTAATTGCACACGCAGGGATGACACAACAAACACAGCAACTCGAATAGCATATGTAAATGGAATTGGGGGTATCTTTTATACTCATACTCAGTTGTTGGAAATACAACAGCTTCCATGGCCCCAAAGCTAATAACAGTAACCAGTCACGAAAGTATGCCTAAACCAGACTCTTCCTAGGCCGTCCAGCTTTCTTCTTCTCAAGTACAGCTGCCTGGCCCGCCCCAAAGCCACCCATGTTGAAATCCACCGTCGGTGTCAGAGCAGGTGTTGCTTCTCCACTCTTGGCCTTCTTCTCGACCGGTTCATCGCCGTCCCTCGGTAATCTGAATGCTAGATATGTCTCATCTGCGCGCTTGCACCGATCGAAAACCGCATTCATGTATTTTTCCACGACATGTGGTGGGCGTACTGAGCGTGGTAAGGCACTTGCGATTTCGTCGCCTTCGTCGTTCTCGATGAGGAGAAGGACAGTGACGGGCTGGTAGAATTCGATATTGTCTATTTCATTCATCTCGTCGAAGTCTTCTATGCGTTGTGGTGGTTTCGGTGGGACGAAAGGTGTTGGAGGAGCTGATGTAGCGGGCTGTATAGGCGTGAGGGTAGGGTTGGGTGTGGGTGTCATGGCATCCGGTGTAGGCACGCCGGGTGTCGCATGCGGCGCAATGTTCGGTGCAGGTGTAGATGTAGGTGCTGGCGTTGGCGTTGGCGTTGGCGCTTGTACCGGTACTGCCTCTGGCTTTGGCGCGGGTGTAGATGGAGGTTTGTCTTCGGGTTCTGGCTTCGGTTTCATCTTTGTAATCAAGAACGACAATTTCGCGCCAGTTCCATTAGGCAGCCATTCCATGAAACTGTAGGAAGGAAAGTAGAACTTGTCCTCGTTGCCATGTACAAAACTAAAGACCAATGGGCGGTAGGTTGTCCGCGGCGGTGGAGTGTAGGTCGGGGCTGGATGTTGGGGGTGATACTGGGGTGGTTTATTGTAGCTGTTTCCATATGGCGTGTGCGGCTGCTGTATTGGAGGCGCATGCCGCATCTGGCCTTGTTGTATGGGAACCGGGTTGTATGGCTTCGGTGTGTTGGGCTGTATTTGTTGTGGAAGTGGCTGAACAGGCCGTGGGGGTGGAGGATGGGATATCTGTTTCGGTGGCGGAGGAGGCGGTGGAGCTTTCGGGGTGGGTGGAGGTTGTGGAAGCTTGGCCATCTTCTCTTCCTTCTGTCTCGCGAGGATGTTGGTCAATTCGTTGATATGTGTCTGGAAGAACTCGAGCTGCTCCTTGCTTGCTGAGCCTGCCGCCACAATCTTCATGACTGCCTTCAACTCGGGATCTGTGCCTGCTCTTGCCGCGAGCATGTGGATGACAGGATCGGGCGCGGGTGCTGCAGGTGCTTGGGGTGGAGGAGCTGCTTGCACAGGCTTCGGCGGCGGTGGTGGCGGTCGGGGCTGCGCCTTCTGCTGTATAGGTTGGC